TCATTGACTGGCATAGCCTGCCATCTGATTATTTAACAATGGATTCAACTTCAAAGTTTAAAGCCACTATCTCTGACTACATTTTTTCATTGTGATGTTTACCCCTTTCGATTTATTGTATTTTTATTTTTATGTTTCCTAGTAGTAGTGCTTTAGTTTTTAGTGAGGAGCTTGCGAATATGTCTGTCATAGATGTTGCAAGACGATATATGTAAATGGTATAATTGCCCATTTTTAACGGATTTTTTTACCCTAAAAAGGTCACCTACAATTTTCGGGAGCCTTTTTTGTGGCTGAAATTTTCGAAAAGGCAAGTTTTGACCCTTATAATTTTCGGATCACTAGACTTTCAGCTAGGTAATCCGAACAGATGAAACATTTTTTGGGCATAAAAATATGCCTATATGTACCGTTTAAAGGGACTGGTTCACGATAATGCGCATGCGCGACGTTTGTCTCTTCAGAATAAATTTGTTGGGTCAACACTAAATTCGAAATCGCCATTACCGGTACAATCATTGAAAATCCTTCGTTTTATTCGGACATCCGTTGCTTTGGCTGGTCTAGTTATACTTCGGTAGTGGTGATTAACGTGTGGTTGTGTCGTTTGACTGGTTACGTTTTAAGAAGACGCAAAAAATAATGTTTTGATCATGGAGGTTCAGAAGAGCATCGTGGCCGTCCGGCAAGAGGACGTTCTCAAGAGTCTTTGGAAAAAGAGAAGCTAATATCGATCTGGTATGGTTCTAGGAGTAGTGTGTGGCTTACGAAAAGAATACACGACACTTGGAAAGTGGTTAAAGGCATGAGTTCGTTCAACTTTGATTTGATTTTTGACTCCGACCTGTAGTTATACTGCAACAGGCCGCGCGATCTTCACCGATCTGGTACACTTGAAATGTTCCTTGTATCTTTGCTTTACGATCGTATATGTTTAAGAATTGATGTTTTTAAAATAAATTATTCCCTGAATATTCTGTTTATAATCTAGTTTCTTTCTGTGTGCCACTCGATAACATTTGTTTTGCGGAACACTGACCCGATGCAACGCGAATGAATTTGTTCATTTGCTGATAAGCAATTGAAATTTATGCTCAGTTAAGGATAATCTTTATACTCATACGTTGTGTGTTTTTGTCACCGGTCAGGCGCTATTTGTAGGTATTTCTGGGTTTGTATAAGGCGAACTGAGAGAACAGTAACAAGATGTTTGTTTACAAATTTTGTTTGCCGATCGGCGACTGTTTTGTTAGCGTGGGTACGACCTCGTAAAAATACACGTTGGTAAATGTTTGTTTCAAAGCAGGACAGGGCTGTAAATCTTATTCTTATCGACTGCAACATATATCTGAGGAGTAGCAAAGAATAAACTTGAATTATGGGGATAAATAAAATCAAACCAAATGCCCGGAAATACTCTCGCGTAGCGAACAATTAATTTGAATTTTGTAAATTTACTTGCGTGCATCTAACTCGCTTCCGATTGGTTGAAAAACAATCAGCTACTGTCAGAACTGACACATGCGCATTATCGTGAACCAGTCCCTTTAAATACTAAAATACATTTAACAATGCTATGTTTAAGTGGTTTTGAACTATATTCTCGTTGGGTGCCCCTGACAGACCCTCTATTTTCTCTTCAAAGTCCGTCGAGCGCGCGTGATAAAAGATAAACCGCGGGGGATTTATTGACCGCCAGCGTCAAGGGGTAGGGTGGGGGAAGAAGAAAATAGACGCTCCGCGCTCGCTCTCCCCCGTTCGCTTCGCTCGCGTGCTCGCCTCGCTCTCGCGCACGCCGATGTTCTCCAAAAGAACGCAAACAAAAATAAAACGTTTGTGTACAGGCTAAACATATCGCTTGAGGAGTATCTGCAAGGAAAAACACTTGTTTTTGAAACCGTCCAGAGAAATAGGCCAAAGGTTTGTAGAAAGTCTACAAGGAGGTGATCATGTTTAGAACTTAGGAAAATTTTGAATGAATAATAAAACAATTTTTGAATTCGGCTTTCGTAGGATGTGAAGAATTATGCAGGCCGAGATGGATAACATCCTCATGGATCTGCATAATTCTTCACATCCTACTCAGCCTCATTCAATAATTGTTAAATGTTTTCCCTCCCCAATTTTGCATAAGCAGTGTTTTCAATTCTCTAGGGTCTTGCAATCGTCACAAGAGAAATCAGGAAGCAAGCTTATGCATAATTTTCGAGGAAAAACCAGACTTGTATTGCAAGTCTTGCAAACTCCCCAAAGGCAAAAAATATGAGATTCTGAACCTAGAGCTGGGAAAAGTAGTGAGAAATGCCGGGTAAAAAGTCATGAGATGTCCCAAATTTCCTAGTAAAAGGACTTTCAGTGGAGACTATGGGTATTGGAAGTCACTATATCGCTTTAAAGCTGAAGCAGTAAACATCACGATCAATTTTACGATTTAGGTTTTGTAATTTCTATGTTTGGTGCCATCTTGAAAAAAGAGAAACAGGAAGTCCGAGTCTGCACATTTGTTGGCAGCGGCAAGTCGTGGTAGGCTAAAAGAATAAGGACCTTAAGATCCAACGACGGCGACGGCAACGGGAACGCCACAAACGCAATAGGTTTAATAACCAAAACAACAATTTTGCATCATTACCCTTTTTTGTTCATTTCTTTGCCGTCACTGCACGACTACGACGTAAAAATGCTTAACTTCACGTTGTACAGAGGAAGTACACAAGCGACGACAAAATTTCCTCCCTCTTTCTGAACTTGGATATGGTTCTTACAAATTCAACTTTAGGAGGGTTCGCCTACATTTGACAAAGTTAGTGACTTGGAGTAACCGCGATGAAGATTGAAAGAACCCGAATTCACTTTTTCAGTGATGTTTTCTCTGCTGTCGCCGTCCTCGGATCCTAAGGTCCCTAATGTAATCAAACGCGACCGCTAAGCGTTTTCGTTGGGCTGAGCTGGCTATCTATCGACATCTAACTTGGAAACGAACCCAACAGCCCAAACATTTTTGGAGTTTGACTTTTCGAGAAAGCGTTAGAAATCAGTTACCAATTCGTGCGAGCGTGAGACAGGTCCTAAAAACGAAGTCTGAAAAACAAAGAGTTTTATGACTATATATTGAATAAGGCCTTTTCTACATTTTCAACCAAGTGACAAGGCGGCCATGTTAATTGAAAAAGATAACTTTTTTCGTAGAATTTTTCGTAGAATCTTCCTGAAGAAAAGATTTGTTTTCAGCGCGGGGAAGCGCTTTTCTTCTTGTCCACCAACGTGGCCGCAGTGAGGTCAGCTGCAAACCAGTAATTTGTCAACTAGGCTCTCTTTTTTTGTTTATGTTCTGAAATCTTTGGACCGTCATTCGGATTCAGTTTTGTTTTTTTCGCACAATTTCCCCAAACATTAAAAAGAAGCCAGCTTACCTAGTAGCCATTGTCGGTTATTTTTTAAGCTTGCAATGTTCTATTTCGAATATGGTCAGGAATTGTCATAGGATAAACAATCAAAATTGATGAAAGTTGCTGAGCAGTAAGTATTTTTCTTTGAAGCTACATCCAAGACCACATTTGCCCCAACTAAAATGTTGGAGGAATTTACCAAAACGTCCACTCATATACATTCATTTCACATACTTTTATGTGATCCTCTTTTTTGTAAGGCTGTTGTAACCTCACATTTCTAATACTTTCCAAAGTTCCTTTAGCCATTCAGCAAGAAAAGGTGATTCACATCCACACAGATTTGAAGGTGAGGAATTACGTTGGTGCGATGGGAGTCGACTTCTGGGACAAAAATGAATGGGAAAAAGAGTTCAGTGAAAACAGTGTTTTGGTCATGACTGCGCAGATTTTTCTCAACCTTCTACTCCACGGTTACATCAAACTTTCACAAGTGAATCTTCTGATCTTTGATGAATGCCATCATGCCAAGAAGAGTCATCCATACAAGCAGATCATGGAGTTCTTTGGAGACTGCGAAAAAACCGACTGTCCAAAGATCATGGGTCTAACAGCATCAGTAATAAATAAAAATTTAAAGCAATCGAACATTGAATCAGAAATAAGAAAGCTGGAATTCACACTGAGGTCAACGTGTGAGACAAGCCAAGATGAAGAAGTTGGGAGGTTTGCTGCAAAACCAAAGGAGATGGTCATAAAATTTTCAAATGCCTCCTCCATTGAAGACAGCACAAACGTATTGCTTCAGATACTTCAAGATATTTTAAATCCAGGCAGGGAGTTTCTTGGTGACTTTCTAATTAATAAGGAGGATCACGACAGTTCATTACAGAAAGCTCTCAAGTTTGCAAAGCGTGCACTGCGAGAATGCCAAGAGACTCTGAAAGAATTAGGTCCCTGGGCTGCCAACAAAGTTGCAGGATGCTTAATCAAGGATCTAGCAGGTATGGTCTTCAGTGTGTAACTAGGCTTGATCTGTTCTGAATAAATAAGGAAAATTTAAAAACACAATTGGGACCTTAAAAAGTGCCAAGGTTGACTTCCCTAACAAATGCAAGTAGTCACATTACTACTATCAGACACAGCTCAACCCATCTTGAAGCCTCATCTCAAAACAAATGCCGCACTCTCACAAAATAGTGCTCATTTGGGTGATGCAGGTTCAAAAGTTTTCTTTTGCTTTAAGTTAGGTAAAAAGGTTTACTGCCATCTGTTAAAATAATATTCATGTTGTCACACTAGTCTTAACGAGATGGTTGAATGGTCATTGCAAACTTAGATACCTAACTTTTTCAGGGAAAAAGAGATCTCTAAAATCATACGCAACAATTGTATTTTTTGCCAGACAATCCAATGAACATTTTGTTCCACTAACCAGCTGTACCCTCTTGAAATAAAGCGTGGTTAGTTCCCAGGGAAAAGAAAAGAGTGGGAAAACCAAAATAAAAGGAGCATATCATCTCAAAATTTTGCCTTTTAGCTGCACTTATCCGAACTTTGAAAGCTATAATTTAGCTTCAGAAACAAAAGCGAGCATTAAGTGCTCGACTTGTGAATAATAATTGGGTGGTTTTACTTCAGTAAGGCCAGAAAATGACCAGAACACGTCTTGACCAGCTTATTTCGAACAGAATTCTTAATTTGGCAAAATGTCAGGGACAGATTTACATTGACAGTAAGATTGGACCCTGCGCTCTGTTGTATTAGCCGTACAACGCCAACGTGGTTAGAGTATTCAAAAACTAAATCAACCCATAAATGTGACACTTGATTCATTTCCATGGAAATGATGTCAGTTTATCTGTTTTATGTTTGCCACTGCTCACATGCATGAATCACTTTAGCATGCCTAATTTTTGTCGCAAATATTTTTCCCGAAGCTAGGAAAGGTAAGTCCTAACCTACTTACGACTCTTTAGTAATTAACCGCACTGAATCATAACAACAAACAAAAATAAGGGTAAAATTAGTCAAACGTCAAAATATACTGTCTGACTCCAAAACTTTCATAGACAGAGCGCAGATATTTGATGCCAGCAAGGAAGGACGAATGTTTTGTGAGTTTAGTGCAACTCAGCTGCGACTACTACAAAGTGTTTATCACAATTACACATCTACTGGCAGTGAAGATACTGGCAACACTAAAGAGTTTTACATCATGCCTAAACTACAGAGGCTGTTGTCTCTTTTAAGCGAATGTGGGAATTCACAAAACAGTGGTAAGAGTTTGAAAGGTAATCGCATTCTTGCAACATACATCTAAAACATCCCTAATATATTTGTCATCTTAAAATATACGGTTCCGCCCTTTTGAAAGAAACAAAATCTTGTTGATATCTGACACGTAACTCTTATTTGAGGCAAAGGAAATCCTGAAAAATTACCTACCCTAACCCTTCACAATCTCAGTTTCTTCCCTTAACCCCGCCCTCACCATTAAAAGGCAAGCTCATGTTGTACCCCATCCACCATTTGAGGCCTTCTTCAAAACAAGGTTGTATGTGATATCATTTGGTAGGATTTGCTCAAGTGATCTATACACGTGGTAGATTTTCTAAATCACTCGTATTTCGTAAATTGTAGGTTGAGTCCATCATATTAGGTTTCAAAAGTTTGTTGCATAAGGTTGCTATAATTTTGGGAAATGATAGAAATGCCATTGATGGTATTTTGTGAAATATGGAAGGAGCTTAATAGTCATTGGCTCCTTAGCCCACAATTTCTGTTTACGTTTCACCGCCAAGAATAAATCTCCAATCTATTTACCATGGTTTGAAGAAGCAACTTGTGATCGACTCTGAATCTGCTTCCAAGTAAAAGGAACAGAGCTGTTCAACAACGCTGACGCTAAATAATTGGCGTAACAACATTAATATCAATATTAAATGAATATTAATTATGTTATTAATTTTTCTACAGAGGACGAGTTCTGTGGCATAGTGTTTGTAGAAAAGCGATACACAGCTCTGGTACTTAGTGAGCTGATCAACGATGCTGCAGACTTACATCCTGAGCTCTCCTTCATCAAATGCAACTTTGTGGTTGGACATGGCACCGTTGGAAAGGCTTATCACTCCAATGAAACAGAAATGGATTGCAAGAAGCAAAAGGAGGTTCTGAGGCAGTTTAGGCGACATAAATTCAACCTTCTGATTGCCACTTGTGTAGTCGAGGAAGGAATAGACATTCCAAAGTGTAACGTCGTTTGTCGGTTTGATTTCCCAAAGACCTTCCGCTCTTATGCCCAGTCAAAGGGTCGTGCTCGAACAAAGGATTCCAGCTATTATATCTTTGTAGATGAAGAGGAGTATGAGAAAAAAACAGACGAATTACAGGTAGATAATCAGTTTTCAAAGGCAACATGAATGTGACTATTCTGATGATTCTGAGTGTTCTTACGATGTAAAAATACGTCGCGCATACAACGGTTTTTTGTTTCCTTTAGCCTGCGTGGAAGGCTCATATAGGGAAAGGGAAAGGGGCAGTTAAGGTGTTCGAGAACATCGTGTTCTCGTGCGCCTTAATTCCCGTCCATAATTCCAAGCAAAAGAAGTGGTGACAAGTCATCGTCTTCCTTCTTGATTTCTGCTGCTTGAAACGTAAGGCTTACCGATTCAGGGATATCGGTGGGTGGACTGGGTACGCTTTCGGGTACAAAAAATATTAACGTTTTCCATAAAATTTAAACGGAAAACTTTGAGGACGTTACCGTAAACGTCCGGCTTAATATAAAACTGTGTTTATAGTCTCAAAATGTTTTAGAATAACAAAAATAAAAAAGTATATCCCCTTTTCTGAGACTAATAGTCAGCTTAAGGTAACAGAGTATTGCTCTAAATCTGTCAGGCAATGACTGAATTTGAAGAGTACCTATCGAAGATGTGTCATGGCCGTGCTGAACCTACTAAGGAGGAGTGTGACGAAGTAGCGGACGCGGACACTTTCTTATCTCCTTACATCCTTGGTCAAGGAGCAAGAGTCACTATGAACAGCAGTGTTTCCCTCCTATCCAGGTAACAACAGCTTTCTCTGCTCAGTCTCAGGCGCAGAAACGTTCCAGCATTCTCTTATGTCAGCAGCACCATTTCCGAAGCTTCTGCGATTCCGGTAAACATTCGATAAACACGGTTAGGAATAGAAGTGCTGGGGAAAAAAATGATTCTTCAAGCAGCCAACCTTTGTGTCAATGCCTCCGCGTGCATTTTTCTCGTTTCATTACGTTGAACTACATTGTTTCAATCTTTGTGTCCATCTCTGTTATTCAGGTACTGCTCACAGCTGCCAGGTGACAGATTCACATGTCTCAACCCAGTTTATAAGATCGAAGACAATGGAAAAAATTTTTACAGGTGTAGATTGGAACTACCACTTAACTGCCAACTGCGTGAAACTATATATGTAAGTGTAAATTAAACCATTACTCTGACTCTAATTTAAGTTTATTGAGTGTATATAATCAAAGCTACCTAGAGAGATGTCATCGGACTAGTCCCAAAACAGTCCTTTTTTGTGGTACACCTGTTTCACACTACTAATTACTTGGGCAGAGCGCCAAGTAAAGGACTCGCGACGCTCAAGAATTTCCTAAAGTTGCTTTTCTTGGGCAAGCAAATTCAGAGAGTTTTCGGTTTGAGTTAGTTATTTGACGAAGTGAGAGCGGAATTTGTTCAAGATATCTCGAGATCACTTCGAATTCTTAATTTATTTGAGAAAGAAATAATTAACCACTTAGTGTGAGGAAATAATTATCATTTTTGGCTCGCCCTGGGTTTAAACCGACTCACCTGCGACGCGTCAGATCTAAGTTGAGGGATTAGCCGATTGCGCGACCCGACCCAAGGTCGTTTGTAATGTGAAAAATAGCTATAAAATCATGCACTAATTACTTGGGCGGAATGCCAAGTAAAGGATTCGCGACGCTCAGAAATGTCTCAAAGTTGCTTACCAAGTGAGGTCAGAATTACTTCGAGATGCCTCGAGATCAGCTCGAGTTCTTTCGGCCCTAATAGATATTTTAATATATTCGAGGAATAAATGACTTTTTTATCTTGGCTTTTTTATACCCGGTGTTTGAACCGACTCACCCGCGATCTGTCAGATCAGATCTGAGTTGACGGATTACCCGATTGCGCCACCGTGACCTGATGTAGTTTGTCCACTGGTGAGTTTCTTGCGGGAAATGGAAGAAAAGGGACAAAAATAATCGCTTGGCTCAATTGAATATGATTGAAACGGTAAAATGTTTTAAAACGGAGAAAGTGGTGAAAATTACTTTGTTTGCCGCTATCTTGACTTCTGGTTTTGCTGATTTAAACGATGGCCACAACGGCTACAGGCGTTGGTTCGCTTGCTTCAAAGATCGATCATTTGTGGTCTTCTGAAATTATCAAGGAAAGGCTTTGAAGTTTTTGTTGTTGTTTGCATCGTATACATCCAGCGTGGATCGAATTTACCGTCGCTTCGTTCGAAGGCCAAAAATGAAGTGGGCAACCATCCAAGTCATAACGCAATTGCAACCGCTGACCTCCACGCAGCCAAAACTTAGGATGTTGCAGTTTCGTTTTCCCATGTAGTTCGACGTGATACGTTTGGATATCTTGGGCAATCTTTTGAGTTTTCTATCTTTTTTCCTCAGTTTACTAGGCACAGCTTTCATTGAATTTGAAAATTCGAGCTATTTACATACTAAGCAACGTCCACTATGGCTACAGGTCTCAGTCACACGTGCCTGACACAAAAAATCCTCACTTATGCGTGATACCACGACGCCCAAGTGTACGCTCCGATAGCGTCTCGTTTTTTCATTGCATATGAAAACAGACGTTAACGTTGACGAGATTGATTTCAAATGCAACATTTTTGGTGCAATTATGCCGCAAGTTTTTTTAATCATCGCTACAAAAGAGATCGCGGTAACCTAAATAAAGCTGGACAATTTATTTTCTAACAGAGCGTTCCGATGCCACGAAAAAACCTGGCTAAAATGGCAGCCGCTCTCGAAGCCTGCAAAAAACTTCACGAGATTGGTGAGCTTGATGATAATCTGTTACCAGTACGCAGTTTACCAGACGAGGAAAGTGAATTGGAAGACGAAGACGAAGGGGTTAGTGGAAAGAAGAGAAAGAAAGGAGGACCAAAGAAACAAAAGCGAGTTTATGAAAGAAAGGTAAAGGCAAAGATCCAGTTTTTAACATGAACTGACAAAGACCAGCACCATGGCCGGGCTGGTCAGTCATGTGGTCCAAAAACACTTTGTTGGATAGCAAGAATTGCACTCTCAAGTCACTCGAACAAAACAAACAAACAATACTACCGTTGTGTCGAATGTTGAAGTACGTTCTTTACTCGTCTTGTCTTATGTGCATTTCTAGTTTTCCGGCGAGGCGTTTTTGTGCAATCTGACTGACTAGCTGCGAAGGACCTATTAGTTGTGATGCAATCAATCTAGCCCCAGGCGCATGACAAATATGGCGAATGAGATAAGCGATGCGTGTTTAACACAGTCTCCTCCCTAGCGATCACTGCTCTTGTTCCAGTTACAATGGTCAAGAGTAAGGATTGAGTAGAGAAGAAGAATAAGAAGATTAACTTTAAGATTGGTACCAAGATGTAAATCAGATACCTGGTACCTCATCGTGTAGCGACCGAGTTGCTCGAACACACCCCTACACTTACATACAATGTCATTCTCATAAGTACATGTGGAGTGCCACGACATGACTTAGGTCTTTGATATGTGTACCATACAACTCTTTTATTCATTTTCACTTAACTAGGTCCCTCAGGTATTCAGAGGTAGCTTGCCACAGGAGAATCAGTCCCAGTACCTCACGGCTATCACTATGACTATCACCAAACTCACCAGCCGACAGGGTCTTGATGTGAGCCAGCGATACTTTAAAGATGGTGTCTGTAACCTCTTTGGTTTATTGACGAATGTTCCAATTCCAGAGGTGAGTTATAGTTCATGATCAGTCACTCTGTAGCTCCGGAATATAATTTTTCCTCGAGATATTAATTATTTGATTTTCGTTTGGTAAGACGTTCATTCTTCAGGGTGTGATGAGGTTTGTTAAGAGTTTTGCGCATACTATTCATCCTCGAGAGTGTCAGAAAAGTCTGAAAAAATTTCATTTTTGAAAATATAGGTTAATAAATAGCATTGCGGGGAAAATGTTTCATTTGAATGGTCACAGTCTAGGTTTCCTCCTACAGAAGTAGGAATAACAACTCAACTTAATTCAACACCTTCACAGTTTAAACCTGTGAATAAAATAGAGAACCGAAGTTATTACCCTGTGCTTCTTCAGACAAAATACTGACCCTGAATCTGATAGGTGAAAAAAACTCGATTTTGGTTGAGCATTGATTGATTAATTGATCGATGAGCCCTTTGCAGCTGGTCATTCACGTGGTACAAAAAACGCCTTGCTGGAGGGCAAGAAATCCACTGGGAAAAGACAAGCAAAGAGCTTCCATAAGTAGGTAAAATATGATCGTCCGGATGAGTGTAATCCTGAAATGGAATGTTGTTAAAAGTAGTTGGCAGGTGCAAGTCATCATAAAACTCAACGTGAGTCGTTTACTGTCCGTTGATGGTATTAAAATCTGGTCATTGGCCTTGATAGCCTTAATTTCAAGTAGTAAATCTCTTTGTCTGCTTTGTGCCAGTCGTTTATTGCTCTCCAGGAAGAAACTGCGTGACTGACCCGCTCATTAACGATTGATTAAATCTACAGCTAAGATCATTCAACCTTTATCCCGACTACGGGGAGGTCAGAATAACATTGAAATGTCACAAGTCACCACTGAACGCAAGGATTACAAGACAAGACTTGAAAACTGTTCAAAAATTCCACTGTTTCTTGTTCAGCCAAGTTCTTTGCGAGCCCGTGAAACTCCGACCCAAAGGGTCCGACGGCAGTACAGATGGTTACTTTGTAGTTCTGACAAAAAGTGATGGATTTGACCTGGAGTGGTCAACCGGTGAATCCAGCAAGATTGACGTTGATATGGTGGTCTCAAAAAATTACATGGAGCCTCGACAAAAATTTGCGGTTTTAAGAGTGCGCCATGATTCGAGTCCTGCGTCTCCCTTCCCAGACAAATCCAAAGCCAAGACATATGAAGGCTACTTCCGGAAGCATTACGGAAAGTCTTTTACAACCATGGAACAGCCTCTCATTGAAGTGAAAGGCATTTCCGGAAGGGTGAATTTCCTGGTAGACAGAAAGGTGGCAGCCAAGAGTAAGAGCGATGTTATTGCTCTTTTCCCCGAACTATGCAACGTACTGCCTATTTCTGCTTCCCTTCTCAGTGTGTCTCTGATGCTGCCCTCAATTTTACACCGTGTGAACGCGCTTCTGCTTGTTGATGATGTCAAGGCGATGGTCGCTGGAGCGCGTGACAACACAGATGAATCTAGCCTCCCTTCAATTGGTGCTGGTGATACTAGCGATGAAAAGAGTTTACTCTGTACTAATAAGGACAGCTTCTCATCGAAGATGGACGTGGGTCATGAGGATTATAGCCATGACAGTGATGACGACGTTGATGACTTTCCAGAGCTGTTTTCAGACTTAAAAAAACTGTTCAGTGGAAAGCGAACAGCTGCTGTTCATCCCGACTCCGCGTTTGTGCTTCAAGCTTTGACCACCACCCACAGTAAAGACGCCTTTAATCTAGAAAGGCTCGAGATGCTCGGAGACACTTTCTTAAAACTGGCGGTTTCACTTCACCTCTATTGCACTTACCGCGAAAAAGATGAAGGTAAACTAACGCAGCGCAAGATAAGACAGATCAGCAATTTGGCGCTGTTTCGTGCAGCTAAAAAGACATCTTTATTAGGGTTCCAACAGAGCACGGAACTTGCACGCGATGTATGGTGTCCCACCGGATGTCAGAAAAGTAGCGCCGAATCAGGTGTTACAGCAATGGAAGTCGATGAGGTGAGGTCCAGTTCAGAACCTCCGGAAAAAGAAGTAGATGATGCCGGCAACGCGGAAGATCAGGGCTTAGGAAGCAGGCGAGACAAGGCTAAGACTCAGGAGATAGCAGACAAGTCTGTTGCTGATAGCATGGAAGCTCTCATTGGAGCGTATTTGATCTGCTGTGGTTACACCGGAGCACTACGCTTTATGAAGTTCCTGGGTCTAAAGGTCCTCCCTGGCGATGATAAAGCGGACATTTGTGAGCTCGCTAAAAATAGAAGAAAAGGGTGTTATGCAGAGTTTTGGCCTCAGAAAGAAAACAACTCAGGAGCTAACCAAAGCCAAGATATCAGAGATATGCCGTCACGGATGGTCTCTGGGTTGGGGAATTTTGAGAACTCTATTAAGTACAATTTTAATTCCAAATCGTATCTGGTGGAAGCTTTGACACACGCCTCGTATCAGGGAAACCGAATCACGCCCTGTTATCAAAGACTGGAGTTTCTTGGAGACGCCTTGTTGGATTTCCTGGTAACACAACATATATACTTCCGTCAAGAAAACTTGTCCCCTGGTGACCTGACGGATATTCGCCAGGCTTTGGTGAATAATAACATCTTTGCAGCCATTGCTGTGAAATACGAGTATAACAAGTATTTGAAGCAGATGTCTCCAGAATTGTTTAAATCCATCGAAAATTTTATCACTACACTGGAAGACGAAAAAGAAGAGAATATTAATCTGGTAAGTAGAGCTTATTACGCAATGGTTAATACTCATCTCCATACTCCAAAATGAAGTTGACACATCAAGATTCATACAAAAAGTAATCCGCTCCAATGAGGGAACCGCATTGACTATCAATACTGATTAGGGTTAAGCATTGACTCGAAAAACTGTTAGCTTCTATTTCATTCTTCAAATCAAACCAATGGTCCTCAGCAAATCCTCAGTGGGGTAGTGGTATAGGTGATGAACTGCAGACACTACGCTCCGGGTTTGATTCTTTCTTTCGCTCTTCTAAATTTTTTTATCCTTATAAATTGAAGAGACGTAGACTTTCAGGAACATTTTATCAAGGAGAAATTTCACGAGAAATTTCATGTAGGAAAACGGAAATGCGGGTTTGGAGTATGGAGATGAGTGCTCACCGCGCGCAACTGATCCCCTCCCCCGCCCGAAAAAAAAGTGTTTTCGGCTAAACGAAATCATGTAATTGTGTTAGTGACTTGTGCAAAAACATTTCTTCATTGATAAAATCCCCGCGTTAGCACGGTTGTTTAAAGTAAGGTCTCTTATTTTCCCATTACCGAGCGTTTCTGGGGATGACTATAGAGGCGAGAAGTGACGACGTCACAAAAGCTAAATTTGTGAAATTATGGGAGTGGTTGGCATATCTTGAAAGAAAAGGATAAAAAATGCCAACGTGCTAAAAATGAGTTTGTTGGTGCACATTGGTGGGGAGCTGATTTTATAAATCCCTCTAAACTAGGGTTGGATCGTACGCGTTATGATCCAAGCCAATCAGCTTTTTGAAATTCGCTATTCCAGAAACTTTAAAGAACCCTGGGTAACAGCTCGTGGCGCTACGATTTATGTGATCGTTTAGGTAATCAATGTTAAATGTGACAGGTACGATGGTTTCCTTAGGTAACTCCTACCAATCACAGCTTATGTTAGCTCTCCAAATAATCCCATTCATCTTAGCTGGAAAAACAGGTCCCCGGCCCAATTTTTTGGTCGGTGCGGTAATGTTTCTTACAGATACTACTGGCCCTTTTTTATTATTGTGGAGTGTCACTTTAAGTTACGGTAAAACGGGTAACAAAAATGTGCAACTTGTTTTGCAACGTTGCTGCAAACTCGTCGAAAAGCGATGTTGCTGGTTTTACCACCCACGTTAAAACCTGTCTGGCAACAAATCAGATTCTCAGATTCAGGTTGTTGCAATGTGCGTGAAAACCGACCTCTGACTGGATGAAAGAAAGCGGGAGTGACGTCTCTGCTACAAAACAAGTTTGTCTTGATCCAGTAAAACGCGCAACGTATCTCTACAGTGAAACCTGTATTAGGCGGACACCTACGGTACCTTCGCTGGTGTCCGTTTAAAAGAGGTGTCCGCTAAATACAGGTTCGTTTTACTCAAGATATTTGAAGAAATGAGCTTTTCGTCTGCTGAGTACAGGGTGTCCACTTAATACAGGTTTCACTTTATCTGTTCCAAGACAAGTTTGATTCAATGGTGGTTGACAATTAGCCTGCTTAGCATGGCGGTTTTGTCGAGCGCACTAGTGCAGTTTCACTACCCCGTCCTTGGCTTGTTTGCGCGCCCGACCAAAACCGCCAAGCTACGCAGGCTAGTTGACACTAGGTATAGAGAAAATGAGCTTGCTAAAGGTGACAAACGCTGGTAATAGTTGAACGAGACTGTAATATCTAAATGAAGATATTGCCGACGCAGTTGTAATCGCAATTTCAGTTATTGCAAATTAAGCCTGAAAAGAATTCAGGACTTCATTTGGATTCTTATTTAAACATCTTTATCCCGAATTCCCTTGTTTTATATTATTGTGGTTCCTGATGAATCTTCAGGGTTAATTTAGCAAAGGTTACGGGAAAAAGATGGACGAAACGATCTTTTTTTTACAATTAATAGGGAATTGCAGACCCATTTATCATCGTATCAGACGAAGAAGGGATTGAAGCTCCCAAGGTCCTGGGTGACATTTTTGAGTCCGTGGCTGGTGCAGTGTTCTTAGACAGCGGTATGGATTTCACCAAGGTCTGGGGAGTGTACTACCGCATGATGCAACCTTACATAGGTATGACATCATTTTTCAAAGATAGATAACGTCCCCTACTGGTGACGGGGCCGCCACTTCTTCGTGCATGGTCACCCGAGCTATAAAGGACTAGTCCCCTACAAAGCAAAGGCGCTACCTTTTTCATCAGTCTTATTAAGGCCTTGTAATCGTGTCTGGAATTGAGGATCGAACGCGCAACCTCCCCCGGGAAGTACTTTTCCCAAAAAATTGGGGTGGGGGCGTAAAATTTGTGGATTGGCCCCACTCAGGGTGCTAAACTCTAAAATGACGCGATTAGAATGGACGCAGCACCTAGCCACAACATGAAGGGTACCATTTGTTCGACAAAAGAATAGTCCTTGACGCTACCGAAAACTGATTGTCAATGCGTGCGCAAGTACGTAGAAAATTCAAGGTTCAAACTACGAATTTAAGTCGCGCCCACAAATTTTCTGAAAAGCGTCTCGTTATTTTTATAATGGTATCCCCCTGGAAACGTCCCGCTCTGGAGACGAGTGTTTACAGTCAGCGGTTTGAAAACTCGGTTTTAAAGTTTCCGTCTCGTGAAAAATAAAAACTGTCACTGTTTACTTGACAATTTTGATGCTTTTGCCTGTTACCATTGTCAAACTCATTCAACAGGTTGCAACATGAACTATTACTATTCGCACTATAGTAAAGAAATACGTGTTTTGTTCTTTGTCAGACCACTACTCTGTAAACAGACCGATCAATCCCATCAGGCGCGTGTACGAATTGGACAACGAACGGGAATTTAGGTACGTGAGGTATTGAAAATATTCATATTCCTGTGTAGGACACACGAGGAACTCATATTTTTCTCTCAATAGGGTTTTACACTTTTTCTCGCTTTGCACGAGTTCTTCAAAAGATAATAATAAAATTAGGTTCTTAGCTGTACAGGCATTTACTTCCCGAATTATTTAGTTTAAATCCGAAGATGAACTCATTCAAAATATCAAAAAATCATCCAAGGTGACGACAACAATCTTGCAAGGACTGTCCTTATCACACGGAAGGTCGCAGAAGACAAACTACAAACTTTGTAGTTTGCCACAAAAACAATCTTTAAAGGGGTGCTGTTTCCTTAATCATTTCTCAACTGACTTGAGAAAGAAACTTGGAGTATGTAACACTAAAAACAAAGCGATGGAGAAACACCCACACTAAGCCGACATTGACTCAAGACTACAGGTTTATCACAAACAAACTTTTCAACGACTATGGTCCCCAGACGATCTAATTTATAAGATTTCTGTTCATATCTTAAGCAAACCGGAAGTTCTTGCCGATGGAAGGGTCAAGTGTACTTTACAAGTTTTCTGGGGCAAGTTCGATGGTTATGGCAAAAATTCCAAAATTGCCAAGGCTACCGCTGCAAAGCTGGCAGTGCAGGCGCTGGACAGGAGAGATTCACCAGGAACAAGCCAAGGAAGTGGCTAATCAAGGGAATGGACATCACCATGGTAACGGTGACAGACAGTAACCTTTCAGATGAAGAATCTAGAGGAATTACGCCTAGGAAGACTTGCTGGCTTTTATTAGCTAAAATAAGATTGTACTTCATTGTACATTCAATTCATACTCACCTAACATTGTGCTTTAACAATTGTGTTTTTTTAATTTTTTAATTATTTTTTTCACTAATGTATACTCCTTTCTTTACCATCCACAATCAGGATGAATATTAGACAGTTCCTTTATACGTAAATAACTAAACTTGCTGTGTAGCCTACGGAGCAGGCGCATGAGAAACATGGCGAGGGAAGAAGAGCCATACGCGCGAGGGAGGCTAAGCGCGTGTCCACCTCTCTCGTTTGCGCGACAGTTCATCGGCCATATGAATTATTTAAGTCTTACTTAAAAGTGTTTTGACCAGAAATCTTTGAATTTTAGAATTGTTGTTTTTTTGGCCACTCTTTTGATTTTAATAATCAGAATAGAAATTCAACCCACTCCCTTTAGGATAATAAACAACAGCACCACCGGAAAGTACCGCCCAGTAGCTTTCAGATAAATGGTCAAACTTTAGGATTTCATCCATTGTCTCAGATTTACATCCATCTTGTTGGGTTCAGTATCCTTTATTTTTAAGTCACTGCTTATATTTTACCATGATCCACAGCTTGGAAAAGTAAAACCAATTTTCATGACTGAAGCATTTGAGTCAACGAAGAACTACCTCCTTTCACCCTCACAGGCTGTGAGAGTCAGTAAAGTATTTTGAAATAAAATGGGTACTGTCATTGAGCAAAGTTATTGAGCAAAGTCAGACCCTTCTGGGAAACTGCCCACCTACCCCACCCCTATGCCAACATTATCACTAAACTTGTCACTTCTCACCTTGCCCTCTTACTGAAGCACCCATGTAATAAATTACGTTCAGGTAGAATTTAAAATTTGAATCGTGTTTGGCCCTGGTGGCCGGCAATAAGTAGAACTATAATAAAATTATTTAAATTGAATATAGTACGTCCGCTATTTTCTTGCGAAACCCTCTCGAAACTGGGTAGCGCCACTAACGGGGCGGGCTTTAGGAACTGGATGGGTGACGGCAGCCGCTGTAATCACGTCGTGAAGATCCCCTACGCTTCTTAGACCCCCTACCCTCTTCTTCCCTAGGGCAAGCTCAACTTGGGTTCAACGACCGAAGTACGGAGCTATGATTTGATCCACTGGGCCGGCGGGGAAAGGGCCAAGGTAATTGTCGGTAACTTGAATTCCAAGGTAGATTTAAGGGTAAGATTAGCAAGATTTTGACGCTAAAAAGGCCGAATTGAAATGCACTTCCCACACACATCCCCGTCAGGGGTAAACTCGTCTACTAAGTAAGACGCACTCACAAATGTTCTTTGATCTCGATTTTCGCTCTTATTTTGAAAAAACGAAATTTATCGCCAAAGCGGCACGCCGCAAGACACGGATCAAGTTTGTCGCTGGATCACTCATTTCATTGAGGACACCAGCTGTAGAGAATATAGCCAACTCGTGTTTCTGCCTCGTGCGAATAAACCTCGGCTACGCGAGGCCGTTCGGCCCGGGCATCGTGAGGAATATCTTGCAAACCAGTGAAAGGAAATTGAGACGTAACATTCAAAAGCGAAAATCAAAAAACAAAAACATCATAATTGGAAAAAAACTTTCAATAAATTCGTATACTTTAACGGGTCGTGATGCAACGTGATTTCACACGTAGCCCGTTTTTTGGCGGTGAAGGGCTGCGTGACGAGTGAAAAGGGGACTGCATACAGTAGTAGACTGGGCTATGTTACAAATGGTCTGTTTGAATTTTGTCGATATGTAAATAAGTTTGATTGTAAGAATGATTTGTTTACAAAAAGAATGCTTCAGTTATCATGTGCGCCACTGTTAAAACCTTGATGCATTCATTTCTCGGAATAACGAGCCAGGTGCTCTTGAAATTACCGGAAAAATACTCGGGCCCTGAGGATTATATCTCTGTCTTCCAGTCAAGTGTGGAAAGTGAAGACCGTAATCAGCACAGCCAATAGCCGACCCACACACCAAGCCAATATTAAACTTCCTTGTTTGAATCACGGGCGCTGATTTATCGCAAGCTTTCAAGCTGTCATCCAGATTTTTCTGTCTAATTTGCAAGTCAAAGTGATCATGGAAAGTGAAGACAGCGAATATTCTTCAGCCTCCCAAAAAAAATGGAAACCCAACAGATTTTTTCCTCTAAACGTAGAATAGATCAGTCAAGGATGCGTATAAGAGTCGGAATCTCTCCTCCTGTGCCCTTCAAATATGGTTACTTCTTCACCGGACAAAAACGAACCATTTTTTTATGGCATTGAAACAAAATTGAACAGGTGTAAAATATGAGGAGCCCATAACCGTGATAATAAAACTGGCCACAGTTTCGTCCATTTAAGATTCCTAAATTTGCTTAGACCTTTGGTTAAATTCATCTTCAGAAATTGGGGGTAATCCACAGGGATAGTCCAATACGGTCCATGGACCGGGTCCACGAAGGGGTCCGGGGTCCGTGGACCGAGGGTCCATGTTTTGAAAAGGTTTTGGTTCAATTTTATCCTTGGTTGAAATTTTATTTTATTTTATTCTGTTTACGTGCCTAGGCTGGTTCGAAACCCAATTGCAACTTTGAAGCATGTGTTTAAAGCCAACCCCATTATTCCCCATTAGAAGAACCTTCATTCAATTGGGCGCCGCTAAACAGTGATCGAGTGATCATTAAATATTCATGCATTTGTTTCTCAGAAACACATCTCAGGCCCCTCCTAAAGCGATTTTAATCAACAAGCTACTCAGGCACGGCGAGTTTTACCCCGTCTTCAAGTCAACAAAACACTGTTGTGTGTGTGTGTGTGTCCGCTGTAGAAGGTGTTGCATATATAGATTAACTGACCGGTACAAACAGATCCTCTGATACTTTGGCCTTTCGCCGTCGAAAATCTGATCGCCGCTCTTCCTTGTTTGATTGAAGTTGAAAGGGACTTGTCGACGACCTCGTGCAAGTTAAAAAATTGGTGACAATGGAAAGCGAGGACAGCGCTGAGAGTTCCTCGGCCTCCGAAACCGAAACAGAAACCCAACCAGAAGATAGAAATGTCGAGGCGGTATTCACAGCTCGCCCTTACCAAGTGGAATTACTAGAAATGGCTCTCGAAAGAAACACAATCGTTTGTCTCGGAACAGGAACTGGAAAAACATTCATCAGTGTAATGCTAATAAAGGAACTCTCTCACCAGATCAGAGAAATCTACAAAAACGGTGGAAAAAGAAGTTTCTTCCTTGTTAATACAGGTTAGAAAGTATTATTTTGTTTACGTTTTGTGTTTTAACACAAGAAACAGGTGGAAGTGGGGTTTGTATGGGTAGCGTACCGATGTCGGTGAACTTTTCGTCAGGACCACAATAGCCATCGCCGTCCGTTGGTTTTCAATTTGCGGATTAGGTATTCTCTTGAATTTCATCTTAAATTGCACTGTAATTTGACTTGAGATTTTAAGCTTTTAAAATCAGTACAGTATGTGGTCCTTGGGCCGGACGAAAAAGACGTAAATGAGTATTTGTTATTTTAGAAGAGAATTAGTGAGCTGAAATTTGTTCTATAAGTTACCGTAACATTTTACTAACTTGTGACAAACCGACAGCTTCTGAGCTTTGCCGAAAATCCTCCATCATAGAAACTGACCGCTCCGTTTGAAGGCCCCTGGCCGGCCAGTGGTTCCTTGGTTCGGCCACTTTGGCCACTTGTAATGTTCATAGCACCAACTGATCTAAATTCCTGTACATTTTCTATAGGCAGCATTTTCACTTCGAAACCAAAATGAGATCTCAGAGTAAAAAGTTATAGTTTTGACTTATGAAGAATTAATAGCGGAGCTCTCGCGCGCGCGAAGCGCGCAGTGGAGCGCCACGGTAAAAAAATTTGGTAATCCGGATATGCATCCAAGAAATTTTGGTTCCGAGAAAATCAAAAATTATTTAGGTCGACCTTTTGAGTGAAATGTGTTCTCTAGAGAATATAGCGTCCTGGAACTGGCGAAAAATCGCAGTGGCATGGTATGATTCAGTGTTATTGACGTTGAGATCGCTGGTTTGCATGTGGAAGACATACAAAAAAGGTAAGTAATTTTTACTCTCTTTGTTTACTGCATCTTCCGTGCAACTCGGTACAAAAGGAAATTTTTCAGTAGTGTAAGAAAACGTATTGGGCTTTGTGTTGGTATGTAAATTAGCTTGTGCCAAGTTGCACGGAAGCGACAGTTTTAATTTGTTAAATGTGTATCCCGTTTTTGTGTCAAAATTCACGACTTTGATTTTCGACAACATTCGACTGTTCATCGAAAAGCGTATTACCACGCTATCCAAAATGTATTTGTTGTTTTGTTCAAGTTTTTAATCACGGATTCAACAAAAAAAAAGTAGAGGGAGAGACAGTTTTAGGGTTTGTTTTGTTAATATGACTTCGCTTGTACTTTGCAGAGATGTCAAGTTCCAGGGAGAAGCTGGCTGGAGATTTTCTCGAGCGCTGAAGACGTGAGCTTTCTGGTGGGGTCCGGAGGCATGCCCACCCATGGAAACATTTAAAATCTGAGGTCCCCTAAATCACTTTTCCTGCATTCTGAGTTCATTTAAGGGTCTGATAAAGGAACTAAATCCTCTTGACGTGAGTGACTCTCACAACCTAATATGTCTTACGATTAAAATCTTTATTATAAGGAGACTTACTCTCTTCACTTTACAGTTCTTCACAACTTCTTTCTAACAGTCTTCTGCAGTCTTCTGCAGTTCACCTTCTTTCGCTCTAAAATCTACTTCTTCGAGACTTCTTCGCATCTCGCTATTTATTTGTTTGCTGGTCATTGTTAAATAGGTTTACATATATAATAATGCGTAGGATGTATCTACCAACAAAAACGAGCCACAAAACTTATACTTCCTTAATTAATTACTAAAAAGGTCGAAATGTTCATTTAAAAGATAAGTATCTTGCGAGGGACGTCAAGTTTGGAGACAAGACGTCGCACTCTCAAAAAGCACACTGTTAATATTTATGTTTCTGCATGCAAAGCTTATTTAGTAAATTGCATTGCTTATTCATCATGTTGCATTTTTAAAGGTAAATACTTAGAATGTTCTAGAACCTTTAAAAGCCTATTGATCGGATATTTATCGAACTTTTATTAACTTTCCATATATCTCCAAAATCGGGAAGATAAGTCCTGTAACAGGTCACACATTTTACTCATGTTACAATGACTAATTTCCAGGTTGTAAAAGGCTGAAAATATGAAAATATTACACCTTCTTTTCTTTTTTTATGATGTATTTATTTCAAAAATTGTTAACCCGAGTTCAGCTGGAGATTTTCCTTGCTCGGCTGGAGAGCTGGAGATTGGGTCTGAAAGCTGGAGACTTGGCATCTATGAGTTTGTTGCTAGAAAAACTATGTTTAGATGCTAAATCTCCGCGCGTATACAGTGTTTATGGCAGAAAAATAAGCCTACGCTTGGTTCAACTTAATCTCGTGTCACTCGGTACAAAAGGAAATTATAACGAAGGTAAAGAAGTATACTTAGCCATTGTCTTGGTGTGTAAATTGTCTTGTAGCTAGTGGATCGAAAGAGGTCGGGCTCCGACAGTTTTCTAAAGTGCGCAGTTTGAAACGTGACTTTGATCGATCGATCCACATTTCATTGTTGTTGCACATATTACAGCTTTGTATGTAACAGAAATTTCAGTTTTATCGTAACTGTAGAATGACAAAATGTGAAAGTTTTTAAAACGCTTAGACCTTCTCGGAGCTACAGTTCGATAGGTCCAGCAACATTTTGATTTGTAAAAAAATCTGTTTACAATGTGCACAGCTACTCTACGTTTAAGCTTGCAATTTTATAATTGGAGGATCGAAGTTTCGATTAAAATATTTTGCTTCTAAATTTTGCTTGGGGTTATTCACAACGAGTTCCTTGTTATTTTCCTTGTTTGGAGCTGCACCCACGTGCGTGATTTCCCCCGTGTAGGTAGGTGAATAGCGTATTTTTCCCGTGAATGCTTTTGTTTTTCTGTCCATCGAAATGGCTTATTTTTTTGGAACAAAGTTGCGAATTGATGATAGAGTTAACACACTATTAAGGAATCAAAAGTTCTTTCCAAGAAAAGAAAATACAGTAATCATCACAAATAAACTTACAGGGGTTAAACGTTTGAAGTAAACTTTGATTCCTTATGAAATTTTTAGTTGGATCATGTTGATGAATGCAGTTGTGTAGGATATGCAGTTTCCAATTTTGACCTCTGTCAGAATCATGAGAGAACACTAAATACAGGTCTCATTCAAACTTTATAATACCATCGTAATTACCTTCTGTTTCTATCCCTATAAACTTATGGTCAAGCTTAAATTTTACACTAATTCAATGTGATATTCATTTGAAGAGGTTGTTGTTTCACGTGATACAGTTTTCACTTTCAATAATGTGAAGTCGAGTTTTTTCTTAGTTGTTGGCTAAGGCAATGTTGAAGTATTTGATATGTTAACATACTTTATTTGTTCATTTCTCTTCAGGAAAGATTGATTGATCTTGGCGATTTATCGAGGGTTTTTGCGTTACGAGTTTTGGGGGGCTTATACATGGAGGGCCTTATTTTCGGAATTTTATGGTATACCAAAAACGTTAGATTAACCAATTGTTACAGTGTGAGTGCACTGTAATATTTAGGGAGTTATTATAACTCCAAAAATGAAGTAAACATTTTAGATATGGGTTACTTTAACTCCTAATTTACCACCGTTTTCGTTGATACGCGACTTTCGAAAAGAAAACACCCGCGGAAACGTTTCCAAAATTTCCGTCAATCATGCGTGTTATCGAGGTCAGAAGGTCACACTAGTGGCTGTGATTGGTGGATTTCGATCCGATCTGTCGATAACATGCATGATTGACGGAAATTTTGGAAACGTTTCCGCGGGTGTTTTGTTTTCGAAAGTCGCGTATCAACGAAAACGGTGGTAACTCCAAATTTGGGGTCATTTTTACTCCTGAAAAAGAGTTCTTTGTTCTTTTCACTCCCAGGCTGGAGTTAAAATAACATCGAAAATGGGGTTATTTTTACTCCTTACATGGGTTGTTTTTAGTCTTTTTGGAGTTACTTTAACTCTGAAAGTGGAGTAAAACTTTTAGGTACAGGATAACTCCTTTCTTGGTGTAAGCGCCAGGAATGTTTTCCGTTACCTTATAGTATTTTTTTGTTCGCCGCGTTCTTAGTTATTTTCGTGTTCGTGCCTTTAGTGCTGTTGCTTGGTTCATTAGTTTTTCATTGTCCGCGTAGCTTTGTCCTTCGTGTAAGGTTTTTTCTGCACATCGTATATTTAGCCTTTATTGTAATTTTTCGCGTCAGTTCTTCGTTTAGCTGCGCTTGGTCCGGTTTACCGTTTAATGTTTGGGTTTTTGCTCGTCCTAGTTTTTCGTCCTCATCTCGCTATCGTCTTTACCGCTGTACTTCGCTGTACTTCGCTATACTTCGTTATACTTCACATCGGTTCACTTGTTTCCCTTCACCAGTTGTAGAAGTTCTAGAATAAAGTTTGTGTGTTAAAACCTATAGCGCGTAAAGGCTGCGACTATATTCGTAAAGACGAGAGTTGTTGGACTTTGGACGATGTCTCATGTGGTTCAGGAAGCCAATTTGTCGTGTTCCGCCGGGAAAAATGGTCAAAGTGTTCGTCGTTCAAGTACCCGTTCGCGGAAGCCTAATTCTTCGCTGGATCAAGAATCAGTTACAATGGAAAGAATCCGAGAACTTAGAAAGAGAAGAGGCGGAGTGCTCTCTGCCTTGACGGCCAAGCGTAAAGAAATTGACAGCTTATTAACGGATGAGAACAATCTTGAAGCAGTCAAGGTGAAACTGACAGAGATTACTTCCCTTTTTCAAAGATTTACAGATGCACACGAGGAGTATAATGCTGCCCTAATCGATGAAAGCCAAAGACAGGAATCAGTAGTTTACTTCACTGACATTGAGTCGAGTTTGAATTTCTTCTGTCAAACGGTTAACGACTGGTTACGTGTATCGGAGATCCGGATTCATGACCTTGATGTTACTCCCGATGACAGTGTCTCACAGACATCGTTCCTGTTAAGGAACAGGAAACGATCCGGTTGTGGTTCGGCGCACAGCCGATCTTCTCGAGCTAGTTCCATTTCTGTTGCTAGGGCAAAAGAAGCTGCGAGAATTGCAGAGCTTTAAGCCGAAGTGAACGCCCTAAAGCAGCGTCAGCTCATTAACGAATCTGAATTACGGCTCAAAAAGGAAGAACTTGATCTCAAGTTTAAAAAGGATCAATTAAAACTTGAAACGGAATTTAAGAAAGCAGTAGCCAGGGAAAGCGCGTATGCGAAAGCTGATTCAGAAAGGAACACGCGTGTGGCGTCTTCCTCGCTCACCTCTCGCGCTCCTCGCGTGGATCCGCGCGCGGCAGCCATTTCTGATGGTTTTTCTCGAGATTTAAAGCAGGAATCATCTCCGGTCTTCCATGGTGCCAATTTCAGACCTAAAGAACACAAGACTAAACACAAGGTTCCAAGTCAGTCCAGTTCAGACTCTGGTGAGCAGTCTGGCCTTAGTGACCAAGCCTTTCACATCCTCGAACAGCAGAATCGTGTCATGGAGGAGTTTGTAAATCAGCAGCAGAAAAACACGCTACCCCGAAGGCAGGTGCCTATCTTTGACGGGAATCCACTCAGCTACTGCACCTTTATGCGTGCCTTTGAGACTGTAATCGAGAGTAACGAGAGTGATAGCGGTGGGAGACTGTACTATCTTGAGCAGCATACGAGTGGAAGAGCGCGGGAGATCGTGCGGAGTTGTATGTACCTAAACCCAGGAGAAGGCTATTCTAAGGCGAAGAAGCTGTTGGAGGCTAGATTTGGCCAAAAGCACAATATCGCGATGGCTTATGTCGACCAGCTAACTAATGGTCCCTACATCAAAGCTGAGGACGCCGAGTCACTGGAGGGTTTCTCAATTCTTCTGTCAAGTTGCACAAATACACTGAAGGCTATCGGATACTTAAACAAGATTGTAGGTCCGGACAACATGAGAAAGATTATCGAGAGACTGCCACCTAAACTGCAGAGTAGCTGGCGGGACAATGCTGATCGTATCCTCAATGCGGACAAGAGAGAAGTTTGTATCGAAGACATTGCGTCATTTGTTGAAGAGAAGTCACGTGCCCTAAGTAATCCAATCTTCGGAAAACTTCCCTTCTTGGCTAAGGATAAGAGGAAGAGCCAGACACGAGGGACGAAATCAAAACCCGAGGGTTCTGGGCCTGGTCCTAGAGAGCTTAGTAACTTCTCCACTTTATCTCAGAAGAGTCCCATGGATCAAAACAAGTCTCAGGAGAAGAAGTCTGAAGATCTCTCGAAAAGGAGTTGTTTGTTTTGTCGTCAGATCCATAATCTCGTAGACTGTCCAGCGTTTGCTAAAATTCCCGTCCGTGAGTGTTTCGACTTTGTGATGAAGCAAAGACTCTGTTTCTCGTGTTTGAGAGGGGGTCATCAATCAAGGGGATGCTACAAGAAGAAGCCGTGTTCACACTGTAACGGAAGACATGCTTCGCCTATGCACTCTGATTCTTCAGAAGATAAGCACGAGCAGCGACATCTGAGAATGCGAGTCAACAACCTGCTAGAGCCAGAGAGAAGGAAGATCAGAACAGATCCCAGCAAGGTGTTAATCAGAAGAGTTTATTAAGTGATGAGTCGAGTGGCGTAGAGCGAGTCTGCAATTTGACGACCACAGTGGGTCCTGCGACTGCTTTGCCAATCGTGCCAGTAAAGGTCAGAGCACAAAAAAATCCTTTTTGCACCGAGACTTACGCCCTCCTGGATACGGGTTCTAATTCCACTTTCTGCTCTAACATGCTTTTGGATCGTCTTGGCGTTAAAGGCAAGCATTTGAAGTTGAAGTTAACTACGATGGGTACGGCAGAGGAGGTTGATAGTGTCGTGTCTAGCGGTTTAGTGGTGTCGGACTTGGATGAAAATGTTGTTGTCGCATTAAGGGAGGTTTATTCCAGACCTACTATGCCTGTGTCTAAGGATGAAGTCCCCAAACAGGAAGATGTAGATAGATGGCCACACCTTAGAGGCTTGGTCTACCTAACTGAGCTGAACTCTCAAGTTGATCTATTAATTGGGTCAGATGTCCCAGAAGCTTTACAACCGAAAGAAGTTATCCCAGCTGTCGGAGGAGGCCCCTACGCTAGTAAGGTGGAGTTCGGTTGGGTAATCAATGGCCCAACAGGAAGAAAGCCAAGATATGTCCCTTCTGCTTGTTACCTCACCAAGTCTATTGACGTCCATCCTATGTGCGTGGCGTGTGTTCTGACTTTGCGGATGCGTGTTTAAATGACGGCACAGGAATGTCTCGTGAAGATATGAAGTTCATGAACATTGTGGAAGACTCTGTTATGCAGTGTGAGGATGGCCATTACCAAGTTCGTTTGCCCTTTCGTAATCCAACTTTGACGTTGCCTGCTAATAGATGCCAAGCCGAGCGCAGAGCCCTCTCGCTGAGACGTAAATTCATTAAGGATGCCAGATTTCAGGAAGACTACGTTGCATCTCTTGAAAGCGTAATCCAAGAAGGTTTCGCTGAAAAGGTTCCCTCTGAAGATTTGTATAGAGCTGACGGAAAGGTGTGGTATATTCCACACCATGGGGTGTACCACAGCAAGAAACCTGAGAAGATAAGGGTCGTCTTTGATTGTTCCGCTCAGTTCCAAGGGATGTCTTTGAATAGCGAATTGCTTCAGGGTCCTGATTTGACCAACAACCTGGTTGGAACACTGCTTCGTTTCCGACAAGACCCAGTGACTGTAATGGGAGATGTATAATCTATGTTTCACCAAGTGCGTGTTCCTGTGGAGGATCGTGACTTTCTGCAGTTTCTCTGGTGGCCCGGTGGTAATCCCGCTAAGGGTTTGGAAGAGTACCGAATGACCGTGCATCTTTTCGGTGCAGTTTTGTCGCCTAGTTGTGTTAATTTTGCCATGCGTCGAAATGCTGAAGATCACCAGCACGAGTTTCCGCCTGAAGTCGTTTCTACTGTTCTGAAGAATTTCTATGTCGACGACTGCTTGAAATCTCTACCTTCCAGTCATGAAGCAATTAAGCACGTTTGTGATCTGCGCAACCTGATGAATAAACGAGGCTTTAACTTGACGAAATGGGTCAGCAACGATCGCCTGGTATTAGAGTCCATATCTGTCGAAGATAGAGCGAAAGGAACTAAAGAGCTTGACCTAACCTGCGATGTTCTCCCAGTAGAGAGGGCCTTGGGTGTGTCATGGTTCGTGGAGGCTGACCAGTTTGGCTTTAAGGTGTTCATTAAAGATAGGCCGTGTACTAGGCGTGGCATACTTTCAGCGGTCAGTTCGTTATATGATCCTCTTGGTATGGCAGCTCCTTTCATTCTTCCTGCAAAGCTTCTCCTACAGGATTTGTGCAGACGGGGCTTGGGGTGGGACGACGAGGTCCCAGATCTTCACTTGACCCGCTGGCGAGCGTGGGTAGACGACCTACCGAAGATTTCCCGAATTGCCATTGAAAGGTGCGTCAAACCTGTCAAGTCCTCGGATATCGCTTCATGTCAGATCCATCATTTCTGCGACGCCTCTCAGGTGGCCTATGGCGCCGTATCATATCTTCGCTTAGTCGACATGCAAGGTCGGATATTCTGTTCATTCCTCATTGGCAAGTCCCGCCTGGCTCCCTTGAAGGTAACTACCATCCCCAGATTGGAATTGACGGCCGCTACCGTATCGGTGCAGCTGAACAAGATTTTGACGAAGGAGTTGCAGATACCCATCGATAAAGTGACCTTTTGGACAGATAGCATGACCGTCTTACGATACATCGCGAATGAGTCGAAGCGTTTCCATACCTTCGTTGCAAACCGCGTTGCCTTCATCAGAGAGGAATTCTTCCCGTCCCAATGGAGATACATCGACAGCAAATCCAATCCCGCTGATGAAGCCTCGCGGGGCGTTACGGCAGACGTGTTTGTTCGTAATGGCCGTTGGTTAAAGGGGCCGGTCTTCCTTTTAACAACCGAGACTGAGTGGGTGGACCATGTCCAAGAACGCGCAGAGCTGACCGAGAATGATCCGGAAATCAAGAAAGAGCCAAAATCATTCGCTGTATCCGTCAGTGAAGTTTACGCAAGCGTTGTTCGTATCGTGAAACGTTTTAGCTCCTGGACGAATTTACTGAAATTTATTGCAGTGTGTGTTCGTTGCCAGAGAAGATTTCGATTAAGAAAGAGAGAGCCTGGCCTGAATGGTCACGGAAATGTTGGTCCCCTCAGCCTGGGGCCAATGTCTTGTCAAGACTTAGACTTTGCAGAAAGAGAACTAATTATGTTTGACCAGAGGAATGCATTTCCTGAGGAAATTGAAACCATCAAGAAAGGAGGCTGTGTAAAGAAGTCAAGCTGCCTTGCAAAATTAAGCCCAGTCCTAATTGGTGGTGTACTTCGCGTTGGCGGACGACTTAGCAGAGCTCCTTTACCTGACGAATCAAGGCATCAGATAATTATCTCCAAGGATTCTCCACTTGGTGTTCTGCTTATCAGGTTCTTTCACGAGAAAAGTGGTCACTCTGGGAGAGAATACGTGCTGGCCCTCTTGCGCGAGCGTTTTTGGTTGATTCGAGCCAACACAACGGCAAGAAGTGTACTGTCGTCCTGTTTCCAGTGTAAACGTCGCCATGGCCCCGCTGGAGAACAGAAAATGGCTGACTTACCTCGTTCCAGGGTCACTCCAGATCAACCCCCTTTTACATGTGTTGGAATTGATTACTTTGGTCCTTTCCTTGTCCGCCATAAGAGAAGCTTGGTAAAGAGATATGGAGCTATTTTCACGTGTTTGGCTTTGAGAGCAGTCCATCTGGAGATTTCCCACACATTGGACACGGATTCCTTTATCTTAGCTCTTAGAAGATTCATTGCCCGCAGAGGTCAGGTTAAAGAGATTCGTTCAGACAATGGTACGAATTTCACGGGAGCTGAAAAGGAACTTCGCGCTATGATCTCAAGTTGGAATCAGGCCAAGATTCACGACACCCTTCTACAGAAAGGTATTAAATGGGTCTTCAATCCTTCAGCGGCTTCCCACCACGGTGGAGTCTGGGAAAGACTTATCAGATCCACTCGCAAGATTCTTGGAGCCTTGACCAAGGAGCAAGTCCTTGACGACGAGTGTCTTCAAACCTTATTGTGTGAAGCTGAGAGTATCATTAATGGAAGGCCGCTGACCAAGGTCTCCGACGATCCTAACGATTTGGAGCCTCTTACGCCGAATCACCTCCTACTACTTCGCCAAAACGAATCTCTACCACCAGGGCTGTTTGAAAAGAACGACACTTATTCCAGGAGAAGATGGCGTCAAGTGCAGTATTTGGCAAATGTGTTCTGGAGTCGCTGGAAACGAGAATATCTTCCTTCGTTGCAGGAGCGCCAGAAATGGTTTCGACCGAGAAGAAACTTCACTGTTGGAGACACGGTTATCGTTGATGAATCGACGCCCAGGAACGTGTGGCCGATTGGTCGAATCACAGAAGTGTTCCCAGATAGAGATGGTTTCGTGCGTCGCGTAAGAGTCAAAACCAAGACCTCTACTTTGGAGCGACCCATTACGAAGTTATGTTTGCTGGAATCAATTGAACATTGAAAGTGTCTTGTTTTCCCGTATTTGTTCAAGAGACTTTACGTGACTTTCACTGAGCTTACGTGATGTTCTATCAAGTTTGAACAATGAAGCCTGTTGAGGCACTTAGGCCTTCGTGACACTATTCTTCGCTTAAGGAGTTTGTCGTTAAAGAAGATTATTGTTCTCGATAGTTAATTTTTTGTGCTAGTTCGTGGCTCCTTTTTCTATAATATTAGGTAAATACTAGCAATTTGTATTTAGGGGCCGGAATGTAAGCGCCAGGAATGTTTTCCGTTACCTTTATAGTATTTTTATGTTCGCCGCGTTCTTAGTTATTTTCGTGTTCGCGCCTTTAGTGCTGTTGCTTGGTTCATTAGTTTTTCATTGTCCGCGTAGCTTTGTCCTTCGTGTAAGGTTTTTTCTGCATATCGTATATTTAGCCTTTATTGTAATTTTTCGCGTCAGTTCTTCGTTTAGCTGCGCTTGGTCCGGTTTACCGTTTAATGTTTGGGTTTTTGCTCGTCCTAGTTTTTCGTCCTTATCTCGCTGTCGTCTTTACCGCTGTACTTCGCTGTACTTCGTTATACTTCACATCGGTTCACTTGTTTCCCTTCACCAGTTGTAGAAGTTCTAGAATAAAGTTTGTGTGTTAAAACCTATAGCGCGTAAAGGCTGCGACTATACTTGGGGTTATTTTAACTCCTCATATCTGGGGTCATTTTTACTTCGAAAAAGAGTAATTTTAAACTCCTTTTTGGAGTTAAAATAACTCCCCCAAAATAACTCTACTGTAAGGAGTTAATCAACCCGAGTAGAGGAGTTATTATAACTCCTTGAAAATTACTGTGTGGGGTCTTTTTACCCACCATATTTTATTTTCTCTCAGTTCCTTTAGCCATCCAGCAAGCCGGGGTGATTAAGAAACACACGGATTTGAAGGTGCAGCATTATGTTGGCGAGATGGGAGTCGACTTCTGGGACAAAAATAAGTGGGAAAATGAGTTCAATAAAAACAATGTTTTGGTGATGACTGCCCAAATTTTTCTCAATCTTCTACTCCATGGTTTCATCAAACTTTCGCAAGTAAATCTTCTGATATTTGATGAATGCCATCATGCCAAGAAGAGTCATCCATACAAGCAAATCATGAACCGTTTTGTTGGTTGCCAAGAAACTGACTATCCAAAGATCATGGGTCTAACAGCATCTGTAGTAAATAAAAAGGTGAAACCATGGAAAATTGAATCTGAAATCCAAGAACTGGAATGCACACTGAGGTCAACATGCGAGACAAGTCAAGATGAAGATGTTGAGAAGTTTGCTGCAAAACCAAATGAACAGATCATTCAGTTTTCAAATGCTAACATTGACGACAGCACAGTTATCTTACTTCAAAAACTTCAAAAAGTTTTAAGACCAGAAATAAACTACCTCGGTGACTATGAAGTGCAAGGGAATGGTCTATCATTGGCTGCTCACTCTTTTGCCTTGTCGGCACTGACTGAGTGTCAAGAAATTTTATCAGAAATTGGTCCCTGGGCTGCCAACAAAGTTGCAGGATACTTAATCAAGGACCTACAAGGTATGGTCTAAATCGAAGGGCTAGCAGCACCTAGTGGTCCCCTGGTTTTTGCTGTTTTTTTCATTCAAACCAAATTGTGGGTTTCCTCCAATTTTTAATTTATTTGAGTGCGGTCTTGAAGTGCATGATGAAAAAACGCACTAAATGAGGACCTTAACAACATACATAGCCAAACATAAGTAAGTATTTCATTTGTTACAGTCCGGCTAACTTAGAAACAAGGAGTTTGTAAACAGATTATGTGCCTTGTCTTGGTAATATAATACTGCATAGAATTTTTTGGTTATTAATGAGGGTAGGAACTTTTTTTAGTTTTTATAGACACGGCATGCATGTTTCAAGACTGCAAGGAAGGAAGAATGTTCTGTGAGTTTAGCAAAACACAGCTGCAACAACTACAAGGTGTTTATAACAACTATACACCCACTACAGGCTACAGTGAAGAGACTGCCAGCACTGAAAAGTTATACATAATGCCTAAAGTAAAGGAGCTGTTGTCTGTATTAAAAACAGAATATGGGAATGAACAAAACAGTGGTGAGTTAGTCAGTTTCGTTAATTGTAACAAAGTGCTTGCAAATAGACTCGACTTTCTTGCATTTATATGATCTTAAAGCTGTCATGTAACTAATGTCATCCTACAAATTATCCTCCCTTTGGGCAGAAACAAAGTGCCCTTGACATTTTTTAATCTAATATGAAACAAAGGAAATCAAGAACAAATGCAATGAACACTTAACCACCTAGTAGAGAGGTTGCCACTCTCTACTGGATGCCCTGTATGGTTCCACATCTCATACCAGCCAGCTGAAAAAAAGCTGTTCCCATTCTGTTATCTTACAGCCTATACTCATGAAAAAAGGTTTACGCAGTAGGATTTCTCAGCCTGTGAGCAAGCTCCCTTTGGGATATCTGGGCTCCGCAAGGAAGATAGAGCTATTTTTGACTCAGTGCAATGAAGATACTTAGAATTGGGGTAGTGCATATCGACTGAAATGCTGTAGACTAAGGAGATAAGGTTTAGGGGAGGTTGTTCCATTCACCTAATCCTATTCCCCAAGCCAAGAGAAAAAACGTAGAGAGAGCAGGATCGTAGCGTCCATATACGCACCTACGCACGTGCGTACAGCTGAAATCTAGAAAAATTTTTTCCTGGACGCATTTTATCATTTAATCGGGAAGACTTTTTGGAATTATATTGGTGTCTTTCTGCTAACGTGTCCTTCATCCTTTTGTTGTTCCATAAACAGACGGCAAGAGACATTATAGTGGGGTGAAAAACGAGAAAAGTATGCCCTGCCCCGTCACAACATTTTCCTTCGTATTCATTTCTCTAAAATGTCCTGCAATTAACGCAGGAAATGGCATTTCCCAGACTGTACAATTAAAAAGGAGAGTATAACCCCAGGCCCCCTTTTTGTTTGGAGAGCCTTCGACGCTCTAACGTTTCTTCCAGTGCGTACGTCTTCAAAATCCCACGCAACGCCCCTGCAGAGAGCATGCTCACAGACTGCAGAACACGTCGCTGTGTCCAAGCCTTTGGCCTCATAATTTGTGGCGTTGCTGCTCATACACCATCTTGAGTCTCACCTCGGGTTTGTTGATTTGAAAAGGAACAGAATGCATCCGTCAGGCTGGTCCTGCAATGGAGATCTTCTCTAGCGTACTATTGTTTTTGACTTATAGGGAACAAGCTTTGTGGCATAGTGTTTGTAGAAAGGCGATGCACAGCTCTGGTACTCAGCGAGCAGATAAACATTGCCGCAAAATCAGATCCTGAGTTGTCCTTCATCGAAAGCAGCTTTGTGATTGGCCATGGCACAGGTGGAAAAGCTAATTACTCCAATGAAACAGCGATGAACTTCAAAAAGCAAGAAGAGATATTGCGACAGTTCAGGCTACATGAATTCAACCTTTTGATTGCAACTTCGGTTGTTGAAGAAGGGTTGGATATCCCAAAGTGCAACTTGGTATGCCGGTTTGATTTTCCAATGACACTACGTTCCTATGTGCAGTCAAAGGGCCGAGCTCGTGCCAAGGATTCCAACTACATTATTCTTGTAGATAAAAAGGATTACGTGGAAAAGCGAGGCGAATTGGAGGTTAGCGATCAGTTCTTTCTTTTTATTCTTAGGGTACATAAAAGTGACTATTCGATTCACTGTGTGAATGAGAATGGTCTTACGATCTAAGAATACATTGCACTTCCAACAACGTCTTTAAAGGGTTATTTGTTCTCCTTCTTTGTCCATGACGGATAATAATTACCAGCGAAGAAGACGTAAGAAGTCATCATTTTCTAACTTGTTTTCTGTTGGGTGAAAGTGAGGTTCACACTCCTGTTTTTAAACAGTTTAATAATTGTCATTTTGATCAAGTCACTCTATGCTAGGAGTTTCTTAGAATCCAACTTCGATAATTCCTCTTACGTTGCCAACGTTAAGACGCCTTCCAATTGTAACGCTCATGTGATTCAGGAACAGTAGGTAAAGGGTATGAGGGTATCTTTATGACAAAATTCAATAACCTAAAAGTGAAAAGGGTTAAGTCAAATCTGAAATATACCAAGTCAAGGTTGGTAGAAAAAGACCACGGTCAAAGGAAATACTAAAAAAGCCACTATCGTATAGGTATCAAGCAGGAAAAGGCATCGCGCTAAAAGGCAACACGCAAAGAGGCATCACGCAAAAAGGCATAACGCAAAGAGGCAACACGCAAAAAGGCAACACCCAGAGGGATCACGCAAAGAGCCAACACGCAAAAGCAGTACGCAAAGAGGCATAATGCAAAAAGGCAACACGCAAAAAGGCATTGCAAAAAAGGCAATTTGCAAAAAGGGCATCAAGTGAGAAGTTTACTTAGGATCCAGGCCTGGATCTTAAACAGTATTTTTTTAGTACATACTGCAAGCAAACCGAAATTGTATTCGAACGAGACATTCTATCTTGCTCACTTCCTGAGGTACTTATTCGGTACCTTAGGCGTGCCCTGATTGATAATTACAACAAGTCCAAAACGGAATTGACAGCGATTGCATTTCTTTCCGGCAGGAAAACTTAATTGATTTACTTTTGAGATCGGCACATCTATACCAAGACGGCGGACAGGTTTTAGCGGTTCTTCGTGCAGCGTTTTAAAACAGCAGTGGAAAATTGCCGTCAATCTGAGGATGATCCCACGATATGAGGGAACTTATCACGTTACGCCCTTTTTGCAAATTGCTTTTTTTGCGATTCCTTTTTGCGTTTTGCCTTTTAGCGTTTATGCCTCTTTGCGTATTGCCTTTTTACGTGTTGGCTCTTTGCGTGATGCCTCTTGGCGTTACGCCTTTTTGCGTGTTGGCTTTTTGCGTGATGCCTTTTTGCATGTTGCCTCTTTGCTTTATGTCTCTTTGCTTGTTGCCTTTTACCGTGATGCCTTTTTCTGCGTGATACCTATATGATCATGGCTTTTTAGTATTTCTTCCTTTTAGTGTGGTCTTTGTTTTACCAACTTTGACTTGGTATATTTCAGACTTGATTTAACCCTTTTCACATTTAGGTCATTGAATTTTTTCATAGATATAACCTCATAGTAGAGTGTCTTACATACGCTTTCGACAACAAAAATTGTGATGTTTGCGTCACAATTTATACGGAGAACTATTAACTTGTTGGCATGAATGGTGTCTCAGTTGAACAGCCGTGTTCATATAGTCATATTATATTTTGGCGAATTTTTACCGTATTCCTAGACTAACAATCAGCTTTGGATAACAGTGTGTTGCTTTTAATCGTCAGATGATGCGTGAAATTGAGAATTGTCTGTCAAAGAAGTGCCATGGCCGCAAAGAGCCAAGTAAAGAGGAGTGTGAAGAAGTAGCAGGCGCGAACAGTTTCTTACCTCCATATGAACCTGAGAACCGTACAGGAGCAATAGTCACCATGGAGAACAGCGTTTGTCTCCTGAGCATGTAATATTACGGAGCTTAAGCAAACACATTTTTGAGCAACGCATATCAACCGGAAGTAGACTTTTTGCATTCTTGGGCAGTGCTTTTGCCCAAATTTTCTAGCCAGTGTAACGGGCAGGATTGTTGTGCCCGGGGTATTTTCTTGGCGGTGGAGCCGCCACACGAAGCAAGAGCGAGGCCGCAAGGGAAAATCCGCCTGCCACATCTCGTTTGTCACCCAATCAGGAAGAGCGGTTTAATACGAAACTGACAAAAAAATTAAAAACATAGCAGAGCATCAAGCCATGGACAAAACAACTACATGTTGCACTGAAGAAACTAAAACGTTCTTTAAAATGCATTACAAAAGGTGACAGAAGAGATGCGCTTTTGTTATAGAGCCAATTTCCTGTCGTAAAACGAGATTAGCTTCCGCATTAAATGGGAAAAAGCCTCACTTCCGGTTGCTTTACGTGGTTAAAAATCGACTCGGCTTAAACTCCCTATTGGCTTTTTCAGCGCTGCCAACTGTTTATTTTTGTTTTGTTCAATTGGTCTTGTTTTTGTTCTTAACCTTTAGGATCGTAAACGAACTTGCTCTTTGGTTACTTGGTTCCCGGGCCTACTGCCTGCGGGTACTGGCTCAAAATGGCATTGTGTTTACACCTTTGGTTCCTGATATATAACTGTGTACACATTTGCCCCATTTTTCCCTGTCTGAAGTTATTTTGAAACGTAAGTGAAGCAGAAAGCTATGGAAAAGCAAAGCAGTGGATTCCCTCGAAATGAACAGAAAACGTGTGCACACAGGGAGCCTGTGCCACTTAAGTTCCCCAAGTACAAGGTCCCGTGCCCGGGCACCAAGTTTGAACATAGCCGTAGTAAATATGCACAGCAGAGGAGATCCCCCCCCCGCCCAACCGCCCCCGCAACAAACACACCACTTTAGGTGCCTGTCCAGCTAGCCCTTATGCCGCTTTAGACGTTCGCGCCTTCCGTGAACTGGTATTATTAAGACAGTGGACTAGGCTGAATAAATGCTGTGTGCAAATGCTGAGTACATTCTCTTTCTTTCAGACTAAAGATCAAATATTCTTTGACCTGGACTGTTTCTCTATCTTACCATACTTCAGGTACTGTTCCATGTTGCCAAGTGACAGATTCACACACCTCAGCCCAGTTTACAAGATAGAGGAAGTTGAGGAAGATGGAAAAAAATCATTTAAGTGTGAACTGGAACTGCCAATTAACTGCCAGCTGCGAAGAACTATATGTGTGAGTGCAAATAAAATCACTGTTCTGACTCTAGTGTAGTAAATTGAGGATAAGTTACCTTTAATAATAAGCAGTACCTTAAGCTTCAGGCCTCCCAGTCTCGTCAAAAAATATCAAAAGTGGCTTATTTGCTGAAGCATCTTCACTAAACGTATGTACTCGAAAAGCTTTCAATGATTCAGAACGATCGTAGTTGCATTTCGACAGTACACGGTCAATTTATCCTTTCCTGTCAGATTCATAAATTAATACACTTGGCAACTTTTTTTGTATTCCAACAGGGCAGGGCGATGCCACGAAAAAACCTTGCAAAAATGGCTGCTGCTCTCTACGCCTGCATAGAGCTTCACAAGATTGGCGAACTTGATGATAATCTCTTGCCAGTCCGCAACTTATCAGATGATGAAAGTGAATCGGAAGAAGAAGACGATGAGTCTCCTGGAAAGGAAAGAAAGAAAGCAGGAACAAAGAAACGAAAGCGAGTTTTTGAAAGAAAGGTACGGATAATCCAGGGTAAACGTCTCCGCTAACACAAAATAACACGTTTGTCATGCAGACAATTTTTTTCGGCGCATAATATACGGGGCACGAGATAAGCGTTGCACGTTGACTCGTCGCCCCCCTGGACAAGCACCACTCTTAATTTTTCCTTTCCCGGCTACGAAACCCATATAACGTACCCACGACATTTGTTAATAGGGCGTTATAGCAACCACGATGGCAAAGGAAGCGAAAACGTCGTTGGTTAAGTGCATTCGCATTCTTGAAAACTATTAGCGATTATTTGAAGTCGTTCAATTTGTCAAACGCAGGCAAATTTTCCAGGAGTAAAATCCTCTGGAGTTCATTTAGGTTCAAGAAGAGAAAGAAAATGTAATCGTCGTTTGTCAGGTCCGATGTTAACATAATGGGAAATTTCACGTCGTATTCGTAGTGTCAGTAACGAAATGTACCAATTAATGTGATGCTCGTAATGAGTTGTTGTTTTGCTTCTTGAACCTATTGCTTTTCTCCTAATCCTAATATCGTCGCCGTCGTGGTTGCTCAAACTCCATTTTGAAGCAGCTATAGAAATACATCGCACTTATCTGCAGGGCCTGGGGATTTAAATCTTGGTCTTATACGTTACTGGGCTGATCACTTAGAACGGACAGTCCCGTCTCGGCATCAAAACTGGCCTGCGTAGCAAGCGTTCCGCTGGAGTTATGGCGCGAAAGTTGTCCCGAGCGCAAAAAGGTAGAGGAAGGGGAGAAAAGAGAATTTTTAGGTTTGCGTCGCAACCGTTTTCTTTTCTCCCCTTCCCCTTCCCCACCTTCTACTTTTTTTATCCTCGTTTCAACTTTCGTGCAACTAAGTTCGAGCGGAAACGCTTTCCATGTAGGCTTGTGAGATGGAGGAGAAGAGCTCAATATTGAAGTGCTGATGGTGGTTGGCATCTTTCTGAGGGCACGTACAATGTTTTCTCGTCAGTACATGCCAAGCGCCATGGTTTGACTCTTTTCCATCATATTTGCACGCACTGTAATTCTTTCTTTTCTTTTTGCTTAACTAGGTCCCTCAGGTATTCAAAGGTAGCTTGCCGCAGGAAAATCAGCCCCAGTATCTCACGGCTATCAGTATAACCATCAACAAACTCGCTAACCAACAGGGCCTTGACATGAGCCAGCGATACTTTACAGGTGGTGAATGCCACCTGTTTGGTTTATTGACGAATGTTCCAATTCCAGCGGTTAGTTCTAGTTCAGTCAGATGTTAGCTTTGATAGTTGGCTGATGACGCTTTTGTTCTCGGGTCAAACTTTAATTCTTTATCTCTTAAGAGGGTCTAAAAGCCTGAAAAAATGGCGTCAAATGTCATTTCCGAAAAAATTAATGATAAATAAATGGTAATGCGAGAAATAAATGCCATAACTGGGTTTAATATTACGTGTTACTTCAGAAAAACATTATGATCCTGAATATACAGGTTAAACTAGAAGAACCTGATTGATTGATTGGCTGGCTGATTGTGGATTCAATTATAACTGATTAATCACTGATTAATTGACGTTATTTATTTAAATCCAAAGGTGAGATCATTCAAACTTTATCCCGACTATGGAGAAGTCACAGTAACAATAAAATGTCACAAGTCACCACTGGGCACAGGGATTGCAAGACAAGACTTGAAAACTATTGAAAAATTCCACTGTTTCTTGTTCAGCCAAGTTCTTCGCGAGCCCGTGGGATTCAAACCCAAAGATTCCGACGGCAGTACAGATGGTTATTTTGTAGTTCTCACGAAAAGTAATGGATTTGACGTGGACTATGATTCTATGCGCCACGCTTTAACAAGGCAAACTTCACTGGAGCGGTCAACCGGTGAATCCAGCAAGATTGACGAGGACATGGTGGTCTCACAAAATTACAAGAAGCTGTGTGGACAAAAGTTGGAAAGGTTGGCTGTTTTAAAAGTGCGTCATGATCTGAGTCCTTTGTCGCCCTTTCCAGACAAATCCAAAGCCAAAACGTATGAAGGCTACTTTAGACTGAAACACGAAAAGTTCTTCACTACTATGAAGCAGCCTCTTATTGAAGTGAAACGAATACAGAAGAGGGTCAATTTCCTGAAGGACGGAAAAGTGAAGACTAAGATTGGGCGCGGCGTTATGGAACTTTTCCCGGAATTATGCAACATACTGCCAATTGCTTCCTCCCTTCTCTCCCTGTCTCTGATACTGCCGTCAATTTTATACCGTGTGAACGCGCTTCTGCTTGTTGGTGATGTCAAGCAGATGGTCGCTGGAGTGCGTGACAACACAGATGAATCTAGCCTCCCTTCAATTGGTGCGGGAAATGCTAACGGTGAAAAGAGTTTACTCCGTACTGATAATAACAGCTTCTCTTCGAAGATGGACGTGGGTCATAAGGATTCTAGTGATGACAGTGATGGCGATGTTGAAGACTTTCGGTTTCGAAAGCTGTTTTCAGATTTAAAATCACTGTTTAGTGGAAACCGAACAACTTCTGTTCATCCCGACTCCGCTCTCGTGCTTCAAGCTTTGACCACCAAGCACAGTGGAGACGCCTTTAATCTAGAAAGGCTCGAGATGCTCGGAGACGCTTTCCTAAAGCTGGCGGTTTCACTTCACCTCTATTGCACCTACCAAGACAAAGATGAAGGCAAACTAACACAGCGCAAGGTAAGACAAATCAGCAATTTGGCGCTGTTCCGTGCGGCTAAAAAGAGCTTTTTAGCAGGATTCCAACAGAGCACGCGACTTGCACGTGATGTATGGTGTCCCACGGGATGTCAGCAGGGTAGCGCTGAATCAGATGTTGTGACGCCTAGTTCAGAAGCTACAGAAGTGAAAGTTGATGATGACGGTAACTCTGAAGATCAGGGCTTTGGAAGCAGGCGAGACAACTGTAACACTCAGGTCATAGCAGATAAATCTGTTGCTGACAGCATGGAAGCTCTCATTGGAGCGTATTTGATTTGCTGTGGTTACACCGGAGCACTTCGTTTCATGAAGTTCCTGGGTCTTAAGATCCTTCCTGAGGATGATGACGTCGACGCGGACATTGGTGAGCTCGCTGAGAAGAGCAGAGAAGGGTGTTATGCCAGATTTTGGCCTGAGCAAGCAAACAAACCAGGAGCTAACCAAAGCCAAGATATGGTGGCAAAGATGGTCTCTGGCTTGGAGAATTTTGAGCACTCTATTAAGTACACTTTCAATTCCAAATTGTATCTGGTAGAAGCTTTGACACACGCCTCGTATCACCTTAACCGCGTCACGCCCTGTTATCAAAGACTGGAGTTTCTTGGAGACGCCTTGTTGGATTTCCTGGTAACACAACATCTTTATTTCCGTCAAGAAAAATTGTCACCCGGTAAGCTGACAGATATTCGCCAGGCTTTGGTGAATAACAACATCTTTGCAACCATTGCTGTGAAATACGAGTATAACAAGTATTTGAAGGAGATGTCTCCGGATTGGTTTAGATCCATCGACAATTTTATTACTAGACTGGAAGACAAGAAAGAAGAGAATACGAATCCGGTAGGTAGGACTTAAAGTCTTTCTCTACCTTTAATGGAGGATGACATTCTCTTTGCTGCCTTTTGACTGTTACGTTTGTTAGCCGCCATTTTAACAAACCTTCAGAGTGTATCAACATTTTTGTAATTGCGTGTAGTCAGCAAGCACTTGTGTCAGTAACAGTGCAGGTACACGAACGAGTTGTTGGTTCTCGTTCTGACTCCAAGAGGTGGGAGGTTTTTCCCCGGGGACTTCTGTTCTCCCCTCTCTTCAAAAACTAACACAATCAAATTGCAATTCGATCTGGAACACACGAACACTTTTGAAAGTGTTCCTCGGAGGTCCTAGGTCTTTCTTGGGTAAACATATTACATTTTTTACAAGTACCCTACACGTCCACTTTATCTCCATTCTAGATGACTGAATAGGCCATTAGCACGTAGGCGGCATTAAGCTGCAGCTTTCAGGATCCTTCTGAGTTTTTTCTTGTCCAAGTTATGACTAGGTACACTAGGTATGGCATCCTCGGAGACGCAGGGGCAGTCAGTCGGGTCGCGAGAAAAGGCGGGACGAAAGTTTTCAAGTACGGGCGAGAGAGCCCCTGGGTACCGACTCTCACCGAATTATTCAAGCGGATGCCGGCTCCTGGTTGGGCACAAAAAAATGCTTTGTATTATTGTGACCAATCGGCGAACATTCTCTCCTGAGTTCTTTTCGTGAGTTCGTACTCAACTGCCATTGTCCCGCCACACTTGCCCGGTTCGTTCAACAAGCTTGTGCCTGGAAGGGAAACTTTTATTTTCTACTTTCCTAACCAGAAAAGAAGGAACTACCGACGAGTCGAAAAAACGTTTGGGATGCTATCAGCAGGAGCAATTGAATTTGCCCCGATAATATTCTGTTTTTGACGTCAACTGCCAGACTACCCGTGAAAATGCCTAATTTCACGTTTTGTGATGGACGTAAACAAGCAATGACAAAATTCATTTTCTTCATGAACTTGGATATGGTTTATAGAAATTCAGCTCCAGAAGTGTTCGCTTGCATTTGACAAAGTCAGCGAGCTGGAATAATCTTGATAGAGACTGAAAAAAATATGAATTCACTTTTCCATGCGACGTTTTCGTGGCTGTCAGCCGTCGTTGTATCTTTTAAAAACACTCTATAAATATTTACCCAAGACGTGGCTGGTGCAATTGTGAATACCCGTTGTAAGCTGAAGCTTGTATTTTTGGAAAAGCGTCTTTAGTTTTCGGGCAGACAGTATTTTAAAATCACATGGGGATTTTATATCAAACTGAAAGTTTCCTGACTGCGTGCATTTCTTTGGTGCATGAGCCAGACAAGCCGTGATCGAGACAATAGCCGTCGCGTAAGAACGCACGAAAATAACTCAGGAGATGTGTTCGCCGATTGGGCACAATAATACAAAACATTTTTTGTGCCCAATCAGGAGCCGACATACGCTTGAATTTTTGGAAATGGTCCGGTGAGAGTCGGTACCCCGGGGCTCTTCCGCCCTTACTTGAAAACTTTAGCTCCGCCTTTTCTCGCGACCCGACTGACTGCCCCTGGGTCTCCGAGGATGTAGGTATGGCAAATGAGGTATAGGTGACAAAAGGTAGTGTAGTGCAGTAGTTAAAAGAGACTGAAACATCTTTATCCGAGATTCCCTTGTTCACATTATTCTGGTTCCTGGTGAATCTTTGGTGTTCATTAGGCAAAGCGAAAAAAGACGCAAGGATTTTCTTTGTATTTCACAGGGGACTGCAGATCCATTTATCATCGTATCTGAACAAGACGACGAAGGGATCGAAGCTCCCAAGGTCCTGGGTGATATTTTTGAGTCCGTGGCTGGTGCAGTGTTTTTGGACAGCGGTATGGATTTCATCAAGGTCTGGGGAGTGTACTACCGCATGATGCAACCTTACATCGGTATGACATCATTTTTCAAAGTTAGATAATGTTCCCTACTGGTGACCCGACAGCCATTTCTACGTCCATGGTCACCCGAGCCCTAAAGTACTTGTCGCCTGTAAAGTTTTTAGCAAAGGCGGTACCTCTTTTCTCAGTTGTTTTAAAGACCTTGTATTTAATCGGGTGTTGATTTGAGGATAGAACGAGCGACCTTCTCCCAAAAAATTGGGGGGTTGTGGATTGGCTCCGTTCAGGATGCTTAACTCTAATATGTCGGCTATTTATTAGAGTGGTCGCGATAACTAACCACAATATAAAGGACACCATTTATTAGACAAAAGATAAGTCTTTGTCGTTTTTGAAAATTGTCAGTGTGAGCGCATATACGTTAATAACAGGCAGCCCTCTTTAAGGGTTATAACGAATTTAAGCGGTGCCACAAATTTTCTGACGAGCTTTCGTCATTTTTATAGTGGTTTCCCCCGGAAATGTCCCGCTCTTGAGACCAGCGCTTTACCAACTAAACTTACAGTGCTGCGGTTTGAGAACTCATTTCTCAAAGTTTCGGTCTCATGATAAATAAAAACTGTTACTGTTAACTTGACCATTTTGATACTTTTGCATGTTACCATGGTCAAACTCATTCAACAGGTTGCAACATGAACAATTACCATTCTCACTATATTAAAGAAATAAGTGTTTGTTCTTTGTCAGACCAATACTCTGAACACATACCGATCAATCCCATCAGGCGCGTGTACGAAGAGGACAACGAACTGAAATTTAGGTACGTGAGTACATATTCCGTGTAGGATATACGACGTAATCCTGAAATAAGGACTTGTCGCTCTCAACTCATACTGTTTTTTTCTATAGGTTTTTCACTGTTTTCTCTCTTTTGCATGAGTTTTTCAAAAGTAGAATTATACGGATCAGGTCCTTAAATTTGTAGGCATTTCCGAGTTTGAGTTTGAATCTGAGGATGACCTACTCCAAAATGTCAAAGCATCAACCACTGTCACCCAAAGTTACTAAAACACATTTATACGGACGGCCCTTGTAAAACGGAAGGTTATAAGTGTGTTCAATCATCAGTCACTAAAAATAATTAATCAACTGTGTTGAGACGGAAATATACTGTAATACTAGAAGCAAAGCGATGGAGAGCTTCACTGAGATACTGATTCCAGATTAGTTTCATCGGCAGCAGGCTTTTTATTTACTGAAATCTTAACAAAATCAAGTACTTACGTAGAGGCAATACCCTGAAAGTTGCTTGCAAGTTGACACTAACAATAACTAGTTTTTCTAGGGCTGCGACCCCAGACAATCTTTAAAGGACTAGCCTTATCCACGGATAGTCGCAAAAGACAAACTACAAACTGTGTAGTTTCTAACAAAAACAATCGTTTAAGGGATGTTGTTTCCTTAATCATTTATCAGCTGAGTTGACAAGGAACATTGGCCATTGTATTGCTAGAAACAAAGCCATGGAGAATCACCCACACTTAGCCGACATTGACTCAAGACTGGGTACATCATCAGCAACATTTTCAACGACTGTTGACCTCAGAGACAGGCGAACTCATTTATATAATTTCTGTTTATATCTTTAGCAAAGCCGAAGTTCTTGCCGATGGAAAAGTCAAGTGTACTTTGAAAGTTCGCTGGGGTAAGTTCGATGGTTATGGCAAAAACTCCAAAGTTGCCAAGGCAACCGCTGCAAAGCTGGCAGTGCAGGAGCTGGACAAGGACAATTCAAGGAAGTAGTTAATCAAGGGAATAAATATCACCATGGTAACGTTTGCAGACAGAAACCGTTCAGGACAAGAATTTAAAAGTTTACAGTTCAGCCTCAAAGGGAGGCTTGCTGGCTTTCATCAACTATAATAAGACTAAAATTTTACCTGGATTTTAAGTTTAAAATTTTGCTCATAGTTTAAATTTACTGGATAGATGAATCAACACAAGTTTATAATAGGACTGTTCTTTGTTGTACATTTCAACTCATATTTACCTAAATTTTCTATTTTTGTTACAAGTGTGTACCCCTGTCTTTAAAACTCACCATTAGGGCTCACAATTTCTTTCTACTTTAACCACCTAATTTACTGTGTAGCCTACGTAGAAGGCAGCGCATATTCGAAATACGGGGAGCAGCCAAAAACCATGCGCTCGACGGAGGCCACGCGCGTGTCTTCCTTTCTCGCACGCACCACAAACTTGTGAACCCGATCAAGTCTCAGCTTATCTCATTTGACAAGCGGTCGTTACAGAAAAAGGCTTTGGATGATCTGTAGCATCTGTAGAGTCATGATTTACCATGGAATGTCTTAATTTGCAATCTTACCGCAGGTACTGTACAGTACTCCTATCTCGAGAAATGCATTTCTTTTCCTGGCTTTAGACCACCACATTGGTTCATCAACTTTCCCAGGACAATGATTGTAAATTGTAAAACAGCCTTACTCCTCTGCTTTGTTATCATTGACTAGTAATCAGCTGTACAATGGTGTTGATAATCCTGCTTCCTCGAGCGCAGTTCGCGAGATCAAAGCTGGGGTTCTCTATTTTGTTTTCTAGTAATCGGTCCAGCTCTGCCCTTAAATCTCGCACTAGTGTAGCGACCTACAGTCAAACAGAAGTCATTGTTTTGTATTTTATCCACTAACTCCTAAGTGAAGGTTTTAAAGAACTTTTTACTGTCACCATTTCATTCAGACTCAAAATTAAATGTAAAACATACAGAATATACAAGCATACAGCTATTTCGGGAAAGGTTGTCGGAAAAAATGTGCACGCGACGATCCCGAAAGGTAATATGGGGTATGTCCAACACACTGTTCCTGACGACTGTAGCTGTCGAACGTACTTTGGTTGCTTTCCTTTAGCACTCGCAAACATATGTCCGTGGCCTCCCGTGCCATTCTTTCAAATTTCTTTGAAAAACGGTGAACTCAAAACCATCCACAATACCTTTCGGGATTGTCGCGTGCACTTTTTCCGTCAACATTCAGAATCTTTTTTGGAGACATGCATATTTTAGATAAGGAATAAACTGTATTTTGATTTCTTCAGAAAATAAGAACCTGTTCAAGAAGCTACTATACACAGCCTAAATTTGTGCTAATTACCATTTATGTAAGAAACGTTTTAGGTTAGCTTGGGAAAGTGCAGGTTCTTAGTCGCGGGTTTTTACTGTATCTACATTACTCTTTACTAAATTGCTGTTAGTATTTGGAGTTGTACACGAAGACTGTTATTAATTCTTTTCAAACGTTGATTGCTAAATAGATATCCTCTTGATTTTCGCTCAACTAAGGGAGTTATTTTCATTTACGATTTCAATTCAGTATTTGTAAGCTGATGGCGAATAAATCAGCATTAGCATATTTTGGCCGACAAAGAGTAGTGCTAACAATAAAAATAATTATGAAGATGAATTTACTTCCGGATTTGTTCGTTTACATATTTCTTTGAGTGGGTGTTAACCAAACTTGGATATGCAAAGGCTGAGTTTCCAATTATCACTAGACCATCTGCAAGTACTATTGCACTTCGGTCACGTGAGTTTGGGGGAGTGTTGCGTGACGAACCCACTAGGAAAGTGTTCTTTGGTATGACGATCACACCATGGGATGAAGTCCTATCACGATTAAGCCTCGTGCAAACGGACGCAAGATTGTTGGCCAACAACTCCCAACATTGTTGGATGTTACATGTTGAGTCCGTTTGCTCACCCTGTTGCATGTCGTTGGGAGTTGTTGCGCAAAGTTTGAAACCAGTCAAACTTTTTTGTTGGCACTTTGAGCAATTTATCTTCATGTCGTAAATGTACTCGTTGCGGGGAGAGGCTTCAGGAGCAAGTATTGCAGGGCTAATTCTCTGGGCGGTTACCGCGTGCCGATCATTAAAAAAAAGTGGGAGTAACGCCCCACGGTTGGCTGTTTTGACACGGAACAAGTTATAAGCGTGAACAAACGAAAACGTTCCAGGCGATTTTTCGCACACTGTATTGGGTTTGAGAAAATAACAAATCTTTAATTAAAATCAGAATACTATTTCATAAAATTACTCACCTTGAGAGAAGAGGCGGAAAAGCGAATCCACCCATCATCGATGGAAATTACAAACACACCCTTTTCTAAGTTCACGGACAAATTATCTCCACAGAAGAGAAGCAACGAATACACAGACACCATACTGCAGTCCCGGACGTAAACCTGTTCAAAAAATCATGTAAGGGATGTTAAAGTCGCAAAGATTTACTATACCTGTGAAAGCTTATAAATGAGTGGCTTTTTTCAGAAATTGGTAGCTTCTGTTTAACGAGGTTTCCGTTGTGTTGTGCCGACAAACATGGCATTTTGAAACTTTGCACCTTGTTCGTTTCTTAACTCGAGACATGACCAGACAGCAACATGAATAACCGCACGCTCAAAAGGTGTTGCAACTAGGTGAGTAAATAGGTTTACTATTTAAAATATTTCTCCGCCTCTGATTGGCTCAAATCCCCCGGCTAATTCTTCATAACCAGCTAACATTGACCAAATTTGGAAGAAGCGTTCCATTTTTGGTAAAATGACGCCGATAGTACAGGCTATCACCAGAAAAAGTCGGAACCCGAGAAGCACTGGGAACAAGGTTGCACTAGCTCAGTCGTTTTGGTCGAAAATTAATCATTTTCACATAGACGATAATACAACTTGTTTACCCCTCCCCCCCTCCCATCAAAAAAAGAAATTGCATAAACATTGTTTCCAATTTTTCCTGGGTATTACAGTCGTCCCAGGAGAAATCGAAGGCAATGGTTATGCAAAATTTTGTGGGGTAAACAAGGTGCATTATGGTCTAAGCAAAAATAGTGAGTGGCCGAAAATTTCAAGCGGATTGCAAAGAACGAATAGCAAAAGATCTGCTAATAAAAAATATAGCAAGAACAGCGGCGTGGTGTCGAAAAAAGGTAACTGCAACTGATTTCTACGCTCTGCAGTAATTAACCCAGTTATCAAACTGCGATTGATTCAACTGTGCACTCCACCTGAGACTGAACCGGTTATTGTTTGATAACCAATCTGAGCTATTACTGGTTACTAGTTGACCATGGCAACTATTAACCAATCATAATTTGCCGATTTACAAACAATCCCAGAAATCCTTCCGCCGAAAGCTGGTGTTTTACGAAACGCTTTCTTGAAGAATGAACGGAAATGAAAACTCAGGGGAAAGATATGCTTACTTTGGACGTCTTGACCTTCTCATGATAAACAAGAAATGGGCTTTCGAAACTGTGTACTTGAAAATTTACCGACTTGGGGTGAATGAACACCTGCAGAAATTAAAAAACAGTTTATTCAGGAGAACAAACCACACTCGTTAACGTTAAGTTATGTTACGCCAAACAACGTCGTTGTAAGAATCTCAAGTTCAGGGAAAAAAGGCTGGGGATGAACAAATAAATGTTATGTCACGACACAAGTAATACCTTCATTCAGTTCCCGCTATTAGGGAATCCCATATTGCAAGAAGGTCACTAAACTTGGAAAAACCTTCGAAAACGACAGTTCATTATGCTTGACTTGATGACACTTAATTATTGGGGTAGATTGGGCGGCCTTGTACGATGGTTTTTCGGTAAGTAATAGGCCCCTTTGCAGCAAGTCATTCACGCGGTACAAAACCGCCATGCTCCTGGGGAGCAAAAGGTCGCACTAGGACAGGACAAACAAAGGAAATTACCATTTTAAGTAATGGTCCAGCTAAGAAGCAGACAGAAAAACAATAGCCCGCGGCAAGAGCGGCAGTTATTTTTCAGGTGCTAATTTCTCTCATCAAATTAAATCTGAATGCTCTGATTGGTCAATGCAGCGAAAAGCGCGAAATTTGAATTTTAGAGTTGAATTAAGATAGCTTTAAAAATGATGTGAGCTTTTTGCTTTAACTGAATTACTAACTACAAAGGGCCTCTTCAAGATAAACTGTCCCCAACTGAAGGTGAGCTATTCCTATAAACTGTACCTTGCCTAAAATGGAAGCGTATACGAACCTGTCCATCATTCTTTGTCCAAAACATGAGTTCAGCTGCTTTGGCATCAACAGGAACCGCTCCTGTTACACAGAGGGGGAAAATGGACAATATTCAATAGGGTTAGTAGAATGTGGGGCAGGGGTAGAGAACGTACACGAGCAGAAAATGGCATTTGACACACATCTTACATCACTCACCAGCAACGGAAGCCTTGTACTTGATTTCCGGTTTAACGACTTGGACGACATTTGGAAATAGAGCGGCGCATACAACCCCCAACACAAGCTTTTGGTTCTTCGAATTCGCGTTCATCTAGAAGAGGAAACATTAAACATAAACATTACCTTCAACTGGGTTCGCATCTACGATTATAACTTCTTCTACAAGTGTTGGAAGAAAGAACGCGAATATATTTTATTACTGACGTCTTCACTGCCGCCGTCTTCGTGGTTGCGCTAACTTCCTAGTGGTCAAATGTCTGAAATCGACCCTAGAAATGCCCGCTTACCTTGCATCTCCCCAATAACTGCAAAACCTCTGTTCTATTTGTCACATCACAAGCTTCAGCCCTACACTACGCGAGTGTAGCACACCCCACCACTCCCATAGACTTACTACGTCCCCCGTCGCAGCTAATACGCCGTCTCCAGTCCTTGGTGCCAGTCTTCCCATTTTTCTGGCCGTGAGATCATCTTTGATGAAACCAATATCACATAACAACTCAGCGTACTGGCATTTCAGGCTCGCGATCATCTGAAAAGAGATAAATCTTAATAAATCCACCTTTTTACTTTTACCGTACAGTACACTTGCGACATTGCTGATTCTAGCGGTATGTCAAGTCTCCTACGCCCGGGAGGGGAAAGGGTGTACTCCCATAAATTTCCGATATGTGTGTACTACCCACGGTCTTAAACCCTGAGCCTATTTAAGGAAGAGAAAAACGAAAACTGACAACCTATTCAAGGGAAAAACAAAACCTAAAAATTTAATGATAACAAACGACCGCCACTAACCACCACTCATTAAATCGCTTTTTTAATACTGCTTCTCATCTAGCTGGGAATTTACGAATCTGAATCTCAACTTACACAATTTAGGTACCCTTCTAAGGATCACACCAGAAACGCGACTCTAACAATGGCAAAAATGATACTCTAATTAAGGTTCGAGACCCTGAAAAACCCTACCATATTGGGCGGCACATACCTACCTATCTAGCTCATATATCGGAGTACCCCTCGGGCCGTTCTTTGGGTCGTCACGCAAAGCTCCTCCCCACAAACGGCTGCTGAGAATCGAACCACATTCCTTTTCCCTTTGTGGGGAGGAGTGTTGCGTGACGACCCAAAGAATGCCTGCTAAGGAGAGGCGCGGGATGCAGGACGCGTGTCATATGTGAATCTGCTAAGTTCCTTTACTCTTCTTTTCCCTGCATGAGTGGACACAGCACCCACCCTAACCTCGGGGGTTGATAAGTTCAAATTTGGTCAAGAACTCAAGACTTTTGTCCTTGTCCCAAGATCGTAGCCTGAATTCAGTTACGCTTTTTGTTATCTACTTTTCGAGTATGATTCATTTAGAATGAAATTAATGACAGATCTTTCTAACCTTAAGTGTTTTCATGGAGAGAAAATTTGTTCGACAAAAGTGATACCCGGCAGCCATTCCACGTTCCATGACCTCAACCCAGCTCTGTAAACAAACACATGAAGCAAGAATAATATTTACAATAAAATTTGCCACTGGGCCCTTCAATTCGATAGGCTATGACAGATGGAAGGTAAACTAAGACTTTCTGTAGAATAAAAGTGATCTATTCGTCGACCCTAGTGTAATGCTCGTAAGAAGTCTCTTGGTGTTCAGGTCTGCTTTTTGGGCTACTGGACCGCCAAGCTTGTCCCCAGGGTCTTCTCGTTTTCCGCCGCCATATTGGAAAACGAGAAGACCCTGGGGACGAGGTTGTTAGACCGTAAGACCGCACTGTCTTCGTTTCGTCCCCACACGTCTCTCTTTCTATGCGCAAAGGCCGGCGGGACGGTGAAAGTTGGCGAGATGTCACTTCACTTGTCTTTCTGCCACATTTCTATATCTTACACTTGCTTCTTTCCAGTCATTCGCCTCGTCTCGCGCGACCCTCGAAGCGCGTGTGGATGAGGCTTATTTGTGTGGCAAGTGAACGAAAGCGAAGAGGAAAGCGGGTAATTCGCCAACTTTCGCATTACCCATAACACACTTTGTTCGCCCAACCCCTCCCCTTTCCCCTCCCCCCCCCAAAAAAATGCATAAACTGTAATACTGTAATACCGACGAGAAATTGAAAAAAAAAAATTCTTATACAACATTTTGGGGGGTAAAAAAGGTGCATTAATCGATATGAGTTGTATGAAAATGGCGAATGGGTGATCGAGTGTAGCCTGCTACCCGGGGTGTACTGTCTCGCAAAATCTTTCCAACACAACAAACACTTTCTAAGAGGATGACACAACCAGAAGCTCGAGAGTAGAGGCCAGTCTCCTGACCATCTCTTCGTATTTGTACCTTGTAGCTATTCAACAAGGTCAGATGATCACTGTTGCCGACAGCCATTTCTTGTCTCTTCTTATCCGCTTCCTCTCTCTTGTCAAACGGGGCAGACTATAATTTGAAACACCGCGCATATTAGAATTATAGACAAACAAGCGCAACTCAGTCATCTCACAACAACAACAACAACAACAACAACAATCTTTATTTGTACTCACTCTTGCTCAAAAATGAATTACGATAAGGAAAATATTAAAAGTAAAAATTAGAGCACTGGCTGCCTGGAATAACCATGTGGGCTAGCGGAACCAGGAAGCCAGTTGACATCAGCATTAAATAAAATTAAATTACAGACCAGCAAGAAAACTGAAGCACAAATGCACACATAAAAAGAAGACAAAGAAAAAGAAAAAAAAGAGAGAGAAGAGGAAAAACGTAGATGAATTTGGACAACATGTAACACGAAAAAAGAAGAAAAAAGAAGAAAACGCAGCTTTGATAAGCTAAATTCACTACATAAATTTAACGAAGCTCAAAAATTACCGCCATATTTCTCGCTGACCGCTGACCTCATACCGCAAGATACATAATATTTGTTTATGTTGTAATTTCTAAAGCTATCACTAAAGTTATTACAAATGTAGTTTTGAAAATTGCCAAAGAGTTACATGCCCTCTTTCATTGTATTTGTTACCAGCAGCTTATTTATATCAATATCATGGCCATGGGTGACAAATTACTCCTTAGTTTTAGCCCGAAAGTGCAGAGTAAATTTATAATGACATGGGAAATTACTAAATGTCTATAGCAACGTTTCCTATATCTCTGGCGTCCAGAGGTTTAAGGATATTACTGTATTTAAAGACGTTACAGAAAACTTCAAAACACGTTAAAGCCTAACTATGGAAGGAACGAACGTAACTGAAATAATATTTTTTCTAATTTCACTTGGCATCAATTAAGACGTCAGCCAGCACTGCCGTATTATACTTACGAAGGGAGATCGGTAACTGAGAATCGCTCCAATGGATAACACAGGATCCAGACATCTAAATATGGCACCAAGCAAAATGAGCTTACCAATCCTGCAGAAAAAGAAACGGTTAATGTACACCAATCCTGATTATTGTATAACATGATAGCCCCTCCCCCCTCCCCACACACCCTGTTCCGTTTTTTTCCGCAGGGTGGGGGGTAAGGGCTACAGGTTCGCGACTTCAGTGGTGTTATCTTCAACATAAGAGCATTTCAAAGTTGTCCAGAATGAACAATGATGGCCAGAATAGCACAGCGAAATTGGTGCGAGGGACCTTACCTTACATCAACAGGAAGAGCTGCCAAGTGGTAACCCAGCGAGGTCAGATTCTGAAAAAGGTTAAAGACAGTTAAAACGTTTCTAGTTTCAAGAATAGGTACCTTTCTAAAAAAAAATACCGTCGCAATAGTTGTCCTCCCCCTTTGCCTATTAACCAATATGAAAGTCTCAAAGGAACTCAATGCAAGGCATTTTTGTTGTTATTTTTATTGACAATTGTTCATAGTAACTAGTAATGGTTGACACTTCATCTGCCGCCGCTCTGTGTGATGTCAGATGGGAGGGGGGAGGGGGGAGGGGGGAAGCGGTCATCCAGACCCAGAGACAAATGGGGGCCCGGTCTCAAAAGAAATTTTTTTTGGCCCCTCGGCGCTCAGTTTAGTCTAAAACAAAGGGAGGGGGGGCGCCCCCCCCGGACCCCTCCCCTTTTGGATCCGCCACTGAACAGCACTCTTGGTCGTTGTGTAGCTCTTTGATATCTACAGATTCATAATGAAGATTTTCAAACATATTCCACACAATAGGTGAGATAAAAACAGGAAACGCAAGTTTCCATGCACTGTTTTAGTTCGCTTTACACAGCTCTGATCAAAACATTCTCAGTTTCGAGAATATTTCTATTCTAAACCATAAGAAAAGATTTGATTAGAAGCTGGAATTTTTCGCTATTTCTCATTACCTTTTACATACAGGTCATGTACGCCGGAAAGTAAGCCTTAGAAATTAAAAGGATTGATCAATTTACGCTCGCATGTTTTAGTCATTTCAGTTTTAACTATTAAGACGGGACCAGACTGCTTAAGACATCTAGACATCACGAAAAAGTTGGACCAAACTGTGGAGCTACGTAAGCTAGCGGAAGTGGGGAACAAAATACATAAATGTTGTAAACGTATGTCACCGCTTGTAGTGTGGGGATTCACCCGCTGATACACTTGACTTGACAAAACACCGCATCTCTACTATGTTACCTCATCAATATCAAGAGCTCCAATGTTGTGCAGTCTTTTGATGGCATCGTTGATGGCTTCTTCAGATGGTGGCTGCAGCAGTTTACCAAGTACATCCTGTAGTAAATACACAAAGTCACGTTACTTACGCTCGGCTATACGCGTCAGAACATCAATAAGTTCGCTTCACATTTTCAACGCAAATTATTACTGTTATCATCCAAGAATTGCTCCCGTCTGGTCTTGTAGGTTTGTGGATGGAGGTCTTTTTATTCGTTGATGGGTGGTTTTCTGATTCTTTAAATAAGGCTAACATGGGGAATTTTTAAAATTTAATGAAAGACATTCAACTAGAGAGTTACTGAATGCTTTGTTCTATCATTCGACTCATTTATATGTATGACGTTTAATGTTTAAGTTTGGTGCCTTGTACGAGTAGACACATTAGAACAATATTCAAAAGATACCATCTCGATTGTAACAGCTGAGAAAATTTACTTAGATGTCTCCTAATTACGAACCTTGATATCTCGACCAAAGAACAGCCCCAGGACTTTGATACGAAGACACAACTTCTCCAAGGGAACTCGCTGAATTTCTAAAAGACAACGAACGCTAAAATGAAGATCCTTTTTAAACGACTATCAAAAAGAAATAGAAAATAACCTTTCTTTCTTAATGGCCCGTCAGCAAAATGTCCCACAAAATGTACTATAACCAATTACCCTACCCCCTCTCCCTTTTCCGCTTCTTACCCCTAGCTCCACTTTCGATTTGCGGAGCAAGTAGCGTGTACGACTAGCGTGCAGAACCTGCAGTTTCGACTCGGGTTACGTGGTTTCCCGCGCTTTATACAGTTGCACATTTTTCCGCGCATGACACCGGTTGCACTGGTTGTCACGTATTGTGCTGGTTGTATCTTTCTACGCGCTTGACACTGGTTATATACTGCCTCGTTCTCAGACGTCTCTCTAAGTACACGCAAAGGACGGAGGAATGGTGCAAGTTGGCGAGACGTTCCCTTTCTCGCCTTTTTCCACTTCCTATGATTCTCCACTCGCGTGAGTCTTGAAGCGTCAGTAAAGGAGGCGGGTCTAGGCGGGTCACATACATTCCTGTGCGGTTGTGATTACTTTAGTCTCCTGGTTTTACAAGGATTGTTAGGAACTTCCGAAAGTCAGCTTCGCCAAAGAGAAATCAAAGACCTATAAGTCGCAGTTACCTTGAGAACACAACTAATGAAAGAGACTATTGCACAACATACCTGGAATCTGGTGACCTGCCATTCTGTATTCAAATCGATAACTAGTGAACAGGTGAAAACAAACCCCGGATGTTACACGCCCAGCCCTCCCTCGGCGCTGACGGGCGTTGGCTTGTGATACCCAGACCTCCTCCAGACTCTCCATACCCTTGCTAGAATCATACCTAAATAGAAGCACGCGTGCCTGTCAGTATGAAGATTTACCTGGTGTAAACGCACCAACGAGTTGATTAGGGAAGCACTTATTAATTAACGAAGAAAGTTCTTTAAAATCTAGAACAAGAAATTATGCTGTTTGGTCGGAGGCCGGGAACAGTGGGCTGAAAATTGAGGTCATTAATTTTTGGCACCCACGAAGAGACTCAAAACCGACATGAGTTTCAAATCATACCTACCGCAAAATTTCGAAAAAAGGGCCGGGGGCTTTTATTTTCAAAGGCCCTTTTTGAGGGGCTTATTTTTGGAGAGGCTTATCTTCGGAGGGGCTTATCTACAGAGGAAAATTTGCGTTTCAAAATCGAATGGGCTAGCCTTACAGTAGGAAGTAAGTTTACCGTTTTTGCTTTGTTTTACTTTGTATTTGAGGGCAATTTTCCAAGTACAAGATCTCGGGGGCCTTATATTTGGAGGAGCGATTTAACGGAGGGATTTTTGCGTTACCGGTTTGGAGGGCTTATACATCGAGAGGCTTATTTTCGGAACTTTGAAACCGTACCTTGCCTAACATAGGTTCAAAGGTTAACCTGACACCGTAAAACCAATGAAACAACTGAACAATTTCCGTTCCTCACACTACTACCTCATACTGCAATTTTATTGTAAGTCTAAGCTTAACTCCCTCTCCTACCTATTTTCTTTCATTCGTCCACAATCAATGACAAACACAACATCATCTATAGTCACTGAGGTCTCAGCAATATTCGTAGACAGGACTATTTTCCTCATGCCTTCTTTTGGCTTCCTGGAAAGCAATAATATTAAGGCTTAATAATTTCTACACTATACCAAGGGAGAATCGTCTCTTGACTATACTCAGACCGCGAGCAAGCTCTCCAGGGTCCAGGGCAGCTTGGCTTGTAAGCTACACTATACTGGATGGTTCAGCTCAGCACTTTATATCTTGCCTCTATTTTATTTACGTGATTAAAATTTACGTGCGTTAACGTGCGTGGACGTGCGTGCGTTAACGTGCATAGCGAAAAACGCATCAGTGGAAATCAACCTTAAGGGAGCTAAGATGCGCCGCAACTATCTTGAAAGTGGACCGTGACTTATCGGATAGGTTTCTGGGCCACTCTTTGGCTCACTGTAATCAGGTTTTCAAACTACACGGGGTGGCTTTTCATGTGAACATGAAAAGTTATCAGATATAGAAAAGATATAGCCCAAAACAACGTGTGTATCGGACGATAACCAGTAGCTGTTTACTCACTTGAAAACCAAACTCTGTTCTTCACTGGATAGCATCGAGTGAAGAGGAATGATCCTGAATCTGAAACCAACGACACATAAAAGGTTAAAGATTCCTAAAAAGTTTGAGGCTCAAGAATCCTTGAGCTAGATAAAACATAGCCTGTGATAGGCTCTCAGATATTCGGGAGGTCGTGAAAACAAGGCAGGGGAAAATGAGACGCCAAGATCTGGAGAAGGGGGCGGTCCGTGTGTTTTTCGTATCATTTTTCACGATCTTTGCGGCACATTTCTGTCGTGGAACCTGGAACAGGCTAGCATAAACCTTAGTTGTCGCAGAAGCAAAAAAGCCCAAACTTAGCCGCGGAAAAACTATGAACGTCAAGGCTGCGAACGCAACATGAAATTGTTTTCCAGACGCAAGAAAATATGACTGAATAAAGTTAAAAAAAACACTAGTTAATCCTTTCCGAACACACGTTTGGCTTTCAAAATAAACGCGTTTCATTGGGAGAAATTTCGTTTCCACACTGAGAATACCTTTCCAGCTCTATAAATGCACTTTATAGTTGGAATTCTTTTCGGTCGTTTCGCCACAAAGTCACTTCGCTACAAAACGTTTCGCAGCACAGTCTTTACGCATCACTTTGGAAAAAAAGATAAAATTTTGATATTCAACTTTAATGTTAGATTTGGGGCTCTCAAAAGAGCAGCTGGTTTTTTAACTTTTTTGCGCGTCCTCGGACTTCTCAAATCCGAGACTACAAAGAAAAGAAAAATGTTTTGCAGCAAATCGACTTCTTGATGAAGCGAACCGACTTGTCACGAAACGACTTTGCAGCGAAACGACCGCACACCGTTAAAACTACCTGTCAGAATTTTTTGGACTGAATGTCTTGTGGTTTTGAAGTTGTTCCAGCAAAGTCATGATCTCTCCCATGCCAGGAAGAAATACCAGAATTGCGCCAGTCTTGGGGTACTGCGAATGTCAATGTGCTTGCATCAAATCATAACCAAATCTATTTTTTTCGTTCTTAAATAAGGAAGCACTATGAAGCGATTTAAAGGGTAAGGATAGAGTGAGAACTAGTCAAATTTAGAAAAATTACAAATGAGAATGGGTTAACCAAAGGTTCATAATATAAAAAAAACAAAATTTCTTCTAAACACTAAACAGCGAGACAAAAAGAAGACAAAAAAAAAAAATAATAATCGACAGCAACAGTCAGTCTGGTGGAAGGGATCACTTTGCCCTCCGAGGAAAAGGCCAAGTAGCTGTCAAAAATTTGGAAAAAATCTCTCCCATGCCAGTATCTTATAATCGTTAACTTGTGCTTTGTGTACTTATTTATCAATAAAGATTATTACATTATTATTATAAATTTTGTTTTTCGTTTTTTCCTCTCTCTCGATATGAGGAATTTTGGATTTTGTATTGCCTTGGCACACAGCAAATGACAGATTTCGCAGAAGTAATTTAAATCAAATGGTGAGAATTGAATGTTACTTGCGATTGACGTGTGTCAATTGATGCCACATGCTCAGTAACAGTATCAGTTGCAAAACAGACAAGGAGAGAATGAGAATATCTCCGAGACAGGGGCACGTCGCTGATATCTGTTCAAGTAATTATTAATTTTATGTTCTAAAAAGGCAGGGCCTAAAAAGTATTTGTTTGCCAGGGAGGAAGAGTAAAATAGTGAACTGTAGTTAAGTGAGAGCGCAGTTCAACATACCTCATGTTCACCAACTACAATGTACTCCAAGACTGCAACAATCACATCATAGTTGATTTTCTCATGATCCATAACACCAAGCGCAGTGATGGTGCTTTTGCTGTAATCTGTTGATAACAACACTTAAAGTAAGATCCGAAAATTTGATCCTCGTACCAGTAGAGACCAAAAAAAGTACATAAACATACAGTGTTTACAAGTATGAAGTTTTATCCGTATATTAAGATCTCTCGTTACAGATAACCCAACCAGCCAAGAAAAGGTTGGCCACACCACCAGGGTCTACGTTCTACTCTTTTCGAACAGTGGTGTGGGTTCTTTTACGTCCCATAAGAACCAGATAACTGAAAGTGCTGTGAGACAGGCCCTACGGTTTTTCGTCCATATCCGAGAAGACTAGAAAGTCTAACCGCTTGCAGATCTCATTACAAAGGTGGCACTTTCTTCTCCGTTAATGAAAGACCCTGAGTGTTGCTCCGGCAAGTATTGACTTTGATAAAATTTTCCATAAACTTCGACCTACATTGTTATCTCCTAGCCTGAGAAAACAGCGGACATTTGGAAGCGCTACCACCGGTTTCCCCACCAAATGACGTCTAAGAAACGAGCACGGAATCCCATACTGATGACGCGTCACTACACAGATCTGGGTATTGCTTCTGATTGGTGGAATAGAATTTCCCACGCACTTCCCAGATCTGGGTAGTGCCGCGTCATCAGTATGGAATTTCTGCGCTCGTTTCTCAGACGTCATTTGGCGGGGAAACCAGAGGTAGCATCGCCAAATGTTGGCCGTTTTCTCAGGCTAACCGTCTGCATCTGAGAAGGCAATTTGAGTGTTTCAGAAGACTATTATGAGGCCTGTAAAAGAACACAATTTATGAGTGAAAAATGACAAACTTCAGCACATGATCGCAGTGAAATAAGATGCAGGCCCTTACTGGCATATCTCCAGGCCATCTGTTCTTCTGACAATTGTTGATCATCCATCTTGTCATCAGGAGGTCTAAAGTCAGTGCATGAGACAGACTCCTGTATTTGTTGAATGTCCTTTGTTAACTGTCCTTTTTTGCCAGTAGCGTCTGGAGTGATTGAAGATTTGATGGGTTTGGCATAAGGTGAATTTGGGTCAACTTGAAACCTAAAATGAGAAAGTCAGAAATATCGCATTCAATGATATTACAAAATCATTTTCACAACCAAACTGAAAAATAACTAAAACAAAATAATGTTTGACACATACTTTGTCATTTCCAATGAATCTTCAAGGAATAATTCCACAACTGGAAATGTGCGACCTTACAATATAAAAACAACATTAAATTAATACAAAAATGTCATTACATCCCCAACTAAAACGGACACTTCTCGAAAAAGGACACTTCCAGACGATGTAAATTAACATCTTTATAGATAAGACATTTCTCATCTCTCTTAGATGAACCTCCCTAAAAGATAGACATCTTTCAAAGACGGACACTTCTAAAGGTAACCCCCTCTCTAAGATGAACAAATGTCTAAGACGGACATCTTTGTAAAATGGACACGTCTCTAAGATAGACACACTTTTAAGATGGGCATTTCTCCAATATGGAGAATTACCTTAGTTGGACACCTCTACCAGATAGACATCTCCTTGGAAACCTCTCAAAGATAAAAATGTTTCTAAAGTGACATCTCTCAAAGATGTACAACTCCATCTCAGTTGGACACCTCCAGAAGATAAACATCTCTTTATGATTGACACCTCTCTAAGATGTAAACCTCCCTCTAAGTTGGATGCCTCTAGAGGATAAACATCTCTTTATGATTGACAGCTCTCTAAGATGTACACCTCCCTCTAAGTTGGACACCTCCAGAAGACAGAGACCTCCTTATGATTGACACCTCTATAAGATGTACACCTCTAAATTGAACACCCAGAAGATAAACATCTCTTTATGACTGACACCTCTCTAAGATGTACTCCTCCCTCTAAGTTGGACAACTTCAGAAGATAAACATCTCTTTATGATTGACACCTCTCTAAGATGTACACCTCCCTCTAAGTTGGACAACTTCAGAAGATAAACATCTCTTTATGATTGACACCTCTCTAAGATGTATACCTCACTCTAAGTTGGACAACTTCAGAAGATAAACATCTCTTTATGATTGACACCCGTTTAAGATGTACACCTCTCCCTAAGTTGGACACCTTCAGAAGGTGAATATCTCGTTATGATTGACACCTCTCTAAGATGTATACCTCTCTCTAAGTTGGACACCTCCAGAAGATAAACATCTCTTTATGATTGACACCTCTCTAAGGTGTACACCTCTCCCTAAGTTGGACACCTCCAGAAGATAAACATCTCTTTATGATTGACACCTCTCTAAGATGTACACCTCTCCCTAAGTTGGACACCTCCAGAAGATAAACATCTCTTTATGATTGACACCTCTCTAAGATGTACACCTCACTCTAAATTGGACACCTTCAGAAGATAAACATCTCTTTATGATTAACACCTCTCTAAGGTGTACACCTCTCCCTAAGTTGGACACCTCCAGAAGATAAACATCTCTTTATGATTGACACCTCTCTAAGATGTACACCTCTCTCTAAGTTGGACACCTCCAGAAGATAAACATCTCTTTATGATTGACACCTCTCTAAGATGTACACCTCTCCCTAAGTTGGACACCTCCAGAAGATAAACATCTCTTTATGATTGACACCTCTCTAAGATGTACACCTCTCTCTAAGTTGGACACCTCCAGAAGATAAACATCTCTTTATGATTGACACCTCTCTAAGGTGTACACCTCACTCTAAATTGGACACCTTCAGAAGATAAACATCTCTTTATGATTGACACCTCTCTAAGATGTACACCTCTCTCTAAGTTGGACAACTTCAGAAGATAAACATCTCGTTATGATTGACACCTCTCTAAGGTGTACACCTCACTCTAAGTTGGACACCTTCAGAAGATAAACATCTCTTTATGATTGACACCTCTCTAAGGTGTACACCTCCCTCTAAGTTGGACACCTTCAGAAGATAAACATCTCTTTATGATTGACACCTCTTTAAGATGTATACCTCTCTCTAAGTTGGACAACTTCAGAAGATAAACATCTCGTTATGATTGACACCTCTCTAAGATGTACACCTCTCCCTAAGTTGGACAACTTCAGAAGATAAACATCTCGTTATGATTGACACCTCTCTAAGATGTACACCTCTCCCTAAGTTGGACACCTTCAGAAGATAAACATCTCTTTATGATTGACACCTCTCTAAGATGTACACCTCTCCCTAAGTTGGACACCTCCAGAAGATAAACATCTCTTTATGATTGACACCTCTCTAAGATGTACACCTCTCCCTAAGTTGGACACCTCCAGAAGATAAACATCTCTTTATGATTGACACCTCTCTAAGATGTACACCTCTCCCTAAGTTGGACACCTTCAGAAGGTGAATATCTCGTTATGATTGACACCTCTCTAAGATGTATACCTCTCTCTAAGTTGGACACCTCCAGAAGATAAACATCTCTTTATGATTGACACCTCTCTAAGGTGTACACCTCACTCTAAATTGGACACCTTCAGAAGATAAACATCTCTTTATGATTGACACCTCTCTAAGATGTACACCTCTCTCTAAGTTGGACAACTTCAGAAGATAAACATCTCTTTATGATTGACACCTCTCTAAGATGTACACCTCTCTCTAAGTTGGACAACTTCAGAAGATAAACATCTTGTTATGATTGACACCTCTCTAAGGTGTACACCTCACTCTAAATTGGACACCTTCAGAAGATAAACATCTCTTTATGATTGACACCTCTCTCTAAGTTGGACACCTTCAGAAAATAAACATCTCTTTATGATTGACACCTCTTTAAGATGTATACCTCTCTCTAAGTTGGACAACTTCAGAAGGTAAACATCTCTTTATGATTGACACTTCTCTAAGATGTACACCTCTCTCTAAGTTGGACACCTTCAGAAGGTAAACATCTCTTTATGATTGACACCTCTTTAAGATGTACACCTCACCCAAAGTAGGACAACTTCAGAAGATAAACATCTCTTTATGATTGACACTTCTCTAAGATGTACACCTCACCCTAAGTTGGACACCTCCAGAAGATAAACATCTCATTATGACTGACACCTCTCTAAGATGTACACCTCTCTCTAAGTTGGACACCTTCAGAAGGTAAACATCTCTTTATGATTGACACCTCTCTAAGATGTACACCTCTCTCTAAGTTGGACACCTTCAGAAGGTAAACACCTCTTTATGATTGACACCAATCTAAGATAGTCACTTCCAGTGTTAGCCCTCATTTCTGAGATGAAAAATGAAACTTCCTGTTCCTGGAATGAACACTTCTCTCATATAAACTTTCCAGTGAAGAAGCTGTTTGCATAATCTATCAATTTCAAGGCATTAATTCTCCTGGTATGGTGCAAGGACCTATCACAAATTTACAGTAAGGTATAGTTCAGAGGCCGCAGCTGTTTTATACCTGGTATGTGAATGACAGGAGCATCATAAAAATATTCTGAAAAGAGCTGAGCATTTAGTGTCGCACTCATCAATACAACTCGCACATCTGGTCTGACCAACAACAAGTCTTTTAACACCATCATCAGAAAATCACTGCAAATTAATGAAGAGTGGAATAGTTAGCAACAAGAGTACTAAAATGAAATTTATATACCACTTCTGACTCTTAGTGAGAACTTTTGTGAAAATAGCAAATGAAGGATATACACTGACAGCTCAGACAATAAAATAATGGTATACCTTTCCTCCGTTCTCTCATGAACTTCATCAACAATCACATGACTTACATTAGGTAAGCTCGATTCTCCTTGTAAACGACGCAGTAATATACCTGTTGTACAGTATAATAAACTTGTTCTTGATGACTGTAAAATATACAACAAGATAATCATCATTATCCTTTGTATCTAAATTGATGAGTATGATGATAACAATGATGATTATGATGATGATAAAATAATGAAACTGTACAGAATGTAAAATTATTTTTTTTAATCTTGGATTTCGTGAGGTTTTTAAGTTAGGCCTCTCGCCATATAAACATTATGCTAAATAGCTGAAAAAAGAAAGTAAGTACAAATATATTGGTTAAAGGGAAAGCAGCTGTTTACCAAAGCTTATATAAATTACCAATATTTTGTTCCTTTGGCTCATTTTACAATTCTCTCTAACAAATGTATGGAAGGAATGCAAAGAATGTCTGCATGTTACAGATGTAGGCTAATAATACCAGTGCTAAAAAACATTTAACATCACAAAATGCCTTGATTAATTAATGGCAAAAGATGCATAATATGATCTACCCATTTTTTTTCTTGAAGAAAAGTAACATATTAGATAAAACTCTCTATTTTCAATCAGCAGATTAATCCCTCCCTAATAATAACTGTACTCTCCCTGCTTAAATTGACAACTTTGAAAATTCCAACTTCCTTTTTTTAAATAAAACACATTTTTTTAGACTTCAGCTTCCTTTTTGTTACCTGTTTATTTTCAAGCCTGACTTGATAACCAACAGTCTCCCCAATCTTGTCAATTCTCTCAGCTGACACCCTTTCTGCAACAGATATAGCAGAGATTCGGCGAGGCTGAGTACAGATGATGAAGCATTCTCCTCCTTTTCCCTCTTTTAGATAACTATCAAGAATAAACTGTGGAATCTGCGTCGTCTTACCACATCTGAAAAAAGAAGAAGAACAAGGTGTAACAATATAGAACAACTGCATGATAGTCATCAAGAGTTGTCTAGTAATGAGACTAACACAGAGATGCCAACCTCTTGAGATCTGAGGCCTTGATATCTCTTTTGCAGAAGCTGTTAACAGGGAAGAGGTAGGTAGGTAGGTAGGTAGATTTTTTATTTAAAACTCGGTAAAATCTTCAGTAATAATAGAGTAAAAATCTAATCACAATTAATTAGAGCCACACTTAAAGGTCACATGACCAACATATTTTGTAACCCCTGGATTCCAAACAAGGGCTGTATTTCCTGGGGAAATCCAAACTGGATTATTGAATCTAAATGAATAATTTCAGTTTTTCTATCATTGGGAAATCCAACAATGGATTTTGAATTTAAAGATTCTATATACTCTATAGGATTCATCAGATCAAATCTAAAACAAGATTTTTAGGATTAAGGATTCCAGCATTTCTTTAGGCACAGGTCCAAAACATTACACTCGGCAAGTGGTTTTTCTTTAAAACTAATGAGGCCCACAATAATTATCTAGCTGGCACTCATGTCAGTATTTTTGGAACACTAAGAATCCATGTCACAGCTGATGTCACCTTGTTGTTACCCTTACCCTGTCATTCCACTGATGACAACAACCTGATGCTGCTGAAGTGTTTCAATGATGTTCTGCTGTGATTTCCAAGCAGGAAGCTTTTTCCTCTCATCAAGCATAGACTTGTAGGCAGGAACAGACTGTAACAGGAGTACATCAAGAAAATGTTGGCTGTTGTACCAAAAGCTGATGATTATATAAGCCTACCGTAAACTGTTGCTTATAAGCCCTGGGCTTACACATCTTCATAAGGGTTTCAGGGTGGCAAATAAATGGAGGGGCTATATAAATTGAAATAGAAAAAAGCACTTCAAAGCAAGCCATAGCAGCTGATCAAAATACATTTTGACTGGTTTTTAATAAGCTTCAAAACATCATAATCAATCAAATTCATTTCAATACATTTAAAATTAAAGGAGGCTTATTATAAATCGTATCTATTCTTTTTGTTTACAAGTAGATGGGCACATAACTTGGTGCCTTATAAGTGGGGGACCTTGTAAGTGGCAGTTTGTGGTATCCCAGGTGCTCAGAAACAAAGAGAATATGGAAGAGAAATTGAGTTGTGAGCTCCTCAGTTTCGAAACAACTGGAAAAGGCTAGATTATCATCCAAAAAATGTACCAAAACTCTGTGCTTGAGGAGGCAAAGCTTATGCAGCTGGTCCGAAGTTCAAGTCCCACCCCCACCATTAGCTGGCTTTGTTCTCAGTAGTCTCCTGTTTAAATCCTGGCCACACTTCTAAATACATTTAGCCAACTGGTTTGCCTCCTTACTGTTGGTATTCTTGACCCGCTTATGTGCCATTCAAATTATTTGTTTCACATATCCATGAAAAGCCCCATAAGGGGAAAATATATCTTAATACTAGTAATGACCAAAGGTTAGGGAGGGTGGGCGACAATGATCGGAGGTCCAAACACTTTTGCTCTAATGCTGTGCTTTGCATAAAAGTTGAAAAAACACATGTGATCAGAGCACAAGGGGTAGAAGCTCGAAACGCGCATGATCAAATTGCATTTTGTGTATTCCATTCATTCTTTGTGGAAGTCCAAACGAATGCTGGCTACATACATGCGACGCATGCATAATTTTAAACTAAAGATTAGGATTGTGGGCTCCTCTTGTTGCCTGCAATAATGTTGTTATTATTATTACAGTCAACTCCCTTTATTACGGACACTGTAGGGGCCTCAAATTAGTGTCCTCAATAGCGAGAGTCCGTAATAGCAGGAGTTTATTTAAGTCAAACATCTGTTATTTGTTTTTGCAGGGGATTTAGCTGCATTTAGCATTTTGAAGGCTTCATACAGTATTAGAAACAAAAGTATGTAAAATACATTTTTACCTGTAATCGCACAAATTGCTGTTTGAGTTTCTTGTTTCTCTCCTGTACTGTGAGTTCATCTGGAGACTGTTGAGGTTCATTCGTCTGCACCTTGCCACTGGTTACACCTTTTTTATCATCATTATTACTAAAAGCCCCAATGCTTTGCAAAGTATCTTTGTTCTTAGGTGGTAGACTAAACTCTGAAGGGGGCAGCTTAAAGCACTCCATGATTTCCTCTTCATTCTCTAATAGATTGGTAAGGCAAAAGATTGCAGGACTCTCTGCACTACATAATACCTTAGCCTCTTGGCTGAGCTTTATTGTGACATTAAGACAACCTGCTGATGGAATTAACTTGTGAGTAGAGTAGAAAGCCACCATTGGAGGTTCAAAAGGATATAGGGAATCCTTAGGAAATCTTACTTCAAGATTGAATGGGAAGGACAGATCAGTGACTATATTGTCTGCACTTTTAACTTCTGGGATGTCATCTCTTGTGTCAATTGAATTGGTTTTCCTATCAGGAACAATATGGCTTAGTCTACACTTGTCTCCAAATCTACAGAACCCTTTCAAAAAGAACCTACAAACATTTTCAGGGATCTCTGTTTTTTTGTCTGTTTTGCTTTTGTAGTATTTATTTTGAGCCTCCTTTTTTGGTTTGAAAGCCTCTTGTAAAAAGGGCAGAGACAATTTAATATTCCATACACAATCTGGAATAACTTCAGAAAAGGTTTCTTCATAAATTGACGCAAGAGCCATCGCTTCTTCTTGTCTTTGCAAAACTGCTTCTTGAAATTTTTCCTCAGTGTAATCTGGATTATCCTTCCCAAGCTGATTTAATTCACAACAACTACAAAGCAGTAACTGCAAAGCTGCTCCTAAATCACCATCATTCTCTCGAAGGGCATCTATGCACCTCTTTTTTTCAAAGCCACACTGAAGCAACTTCTTCACCGCATAAGAGCTGTAAATATCATCTTCAGATTCAGCATCAGTTTCGTTTTGATCGGCAAATTTAACATCTTCGATCATGAGTTTTTTCTCGCCGACCTTCTGCCAATATGCCTCATTTCGTCTGATCTCCCTAGTACCTAAAGTCAGTTTTTCGTTGAACTTGTGACTGCTCCTGGTGATTTGTAGATCCTGCAGAACTTCTTCTATCATCTGTTGATTGTCCGCGCTCATATCAAGTCTCTGAATCAGAGCTTTGTTACGGAATTTTGATTTAGTTTTGGCTGGCATCGTGTTTTTTCCTTCATGGGAGGGCTCATTAATTTCAGTCAAACTATCGACAAAGTGATCGTCGTCTTCCTTTTCATCTAATTCATCTTGCTCTTTTTCCATAGAAACAGAAAGACCTGCGCGATTGAATGTGCGAGGTTTGTTGAATCGACCTCCACCGCGGTTCGGCCTTCGAGAACCGCCACGTGCACGATTCATTCCAGGGTCAAATATTTACCCAATAACTATCCTCACTGTCTTTCGTTGGACCTCGTTGGCATAGGCTTCGCTGGTCAATTGCCACAGCTGTGGATTCGTCCAAGAAAGTTAGAAATTAAGCAAATTATGAGAAAAGATTTGAGAAATTGACCAGGCGTTCAGTACCTTCCTCTCTTCCGAGGCTTGGAACCTCAGGACTACAACAGCGCGCGCATCGCGGCAAGCGACTCAAAACGCCAAATGCAAAGTCCATGGGCACAAAACTCGAGACCAGGCTCTATTTTCGTTTCGCTTTGTAAATAACCGATTCAATTTTAGGGCGACCATGTAAGAGAGAATGTATCAAACTGGTGAAGATGCTAAAATTGAGCCAGATCTCTTCAGGGTAAACACAGGTAGCCCAAGCTCAAAATGTGAGCATCGGCGAGCATCGGCATTGTTGCGTAACATTCCAAAAATATAAGGATTTGTATGGGAAAAAAACCTATCGTTTCTGTAACCTACGAAAATGAAAGGATTTCAATAAGAACAGCTTACCTTTCTTAAAATGTGTGTTACGTCTCTCCTGTGTGGTCCACGGGCCGATTTGTGGCCGTTTTATGGGTTTTTATGTAAACGGTTTTCTCTCTATAGGTCTCTATACCTTTATAAAGAGAGAAATCCGTTTACATAAAAACCCATAAACCGCCATAAATCAGCCCGTGGACCACACAGGAGAGACGTAACACACATTTTAAGTAAGGTAAGCTGTTTTTATTGAAATCCTTTCATTTTGGTAGGTTACAGAAACGATAGGTTTTTTTCCCATGAATCCTTATATTTTTGGAATGTTACGCAACAATGCCGATGCTCGCCGATGCTCGCCGATGCTCGCCGATGCTCATATTTCGAGCTTGGGCTACCTGTGGGGTAAAGGGCACAGTAAGATTTTAAGGTGAGTTACCTTTATTCGTTTTTGTTTACCTTATTCTTGCATTATATGACGCAACATTTAAGAGGCAAAAGATGAGGGTAAAAGGTTCAAAGTTTTAATTTCTCGATCATCACTCATCGACTTCCCTTATCATCATTGTCATCATCATCATCATCATCATCATCATCCCAGTACAACGGTCTTAGGCAAAAGTCTTTTGAATAAGGCTCTTCGAACCTTCTCCCTTCAGGCTACTCTGTCTTTTACCCAAAACGAATGTCAGAATGAATGAAACAATGAATGAAGCTTTATTTAATCTCGGGTTTGATGAGGTTGATTAGACCTCAAGCAAAAATATGCTAATAAGCCGAGGAAAAAAAAAGCCAAAGAAAGCAAAACAACTAAGTAAAATAATAGAGAAAGAAAGGGAAATCGAAAAACTTATTTACAGTATAAAGCCTAAAATTACGTGAAATAGCTGTTTGCAATAAAAAGCCTAATTACATAATAGAATATAGATCAGTATTATTGAGAATCATGCAGCTAGAACCTTAGCTGGCGGACGGCTTTGTTAAAAGCTGCCAATGTACTTGGGGATCTCAGGTGGATAATTGTTTATTGTCTTAAATACAATAATTAACAAGTTCTGGATACGTCGATCCACAAGGCTGTAACCAATACCAGGGGCGGATCCAGGAATTCTTGATTGGGGTCCAAACTTGTCTGATCACAAAGTGACAATAACAGAACAGTCGCAAGTTAACTGTTAAGCTAATTCAAAAGTTATTACCCAAGGATGCAGGGTCTGGAAGGGTATTTTCGGGATCCAGGATTTGACCAAAATACGGCGGGGGATTCGGGAAAACGCAAAATATCTTGGCGGGACACGGGATTTGAATGCTTCCCGGGAAGCGGGATTCATCAGAATTTGTGCCCGGCCATGCGGGATCTTTTTCCCTCTCTGTCGGGAATTTGGGAAATCATGACGACTCAAATACACGTTCCGCGGCAAATGCGATTCATCAAGGCGAGCGTTCAGTTGTGTCTCCTATCAACTAAGCAAACTATACACTAAGTGATCTTGTTAATGATTGTCTAAATGAAATGGTCAGGTAGTCAACAGACGAGTGGTCAGAAGACCCACTCTTTCAACCAGATGCCAGGAAGGTGCACGTGGTGTAATATCATACCAGTTAATGAAATTTCCCTTCTATTCACCGTTTTGCGACCGGAGCCAAGATGGCGTGTCGTTTATGGACATTTCTGCAAGACGAAATTTGTGCGATAAATGAAGCAGTCGTACAAACAAATACCAAGAAAGCGAGGAACTTGGCTTCTCGGTGTTCACTGGTTAGGTAGAAAATTATATTCATGCTGAATTTACAACAAAATCGTAAAATGAACTCGACAAATCCCCGAAATGTTTGTAAATTGTTAACAAAGTTCCTACCAAGTGACGTTTTTAATTTAAAAAAGTTACTTTTTTTCAGTTTTATCGAAGCTGATTTGGTAAATACTGAAACAACTATCCCCCTCAGGGTCGGTGAACAGCGCAAAATATATACCTCGACGCTTCGCGTCTGTATATATAGTCAGTACTATTCACCTCCCCTTCGGGCGATAGTGAGCACCATATAATCACGTGATAGGTCGTCCTGCGCGTGTGCCTACTGAAATAAAGTAGTTAGTATCGAATAGCTAGCATCCTGTTTCCATGGATAAATGTGTAAAACTCATATTGACAAGAAACTTGTGTTGTCATTGAGGAAAGTGTCTTAGGCCTCTACTCTTTATCATTTCCTCTAACGCCCTGAAGGTTTTAAACTGCTTAAAGGTCTCTAATATATAGATTTAGCCAGGGCTAAATGCGAAACTCTGGTTAATAATACGTGTAAACTATAAAAAATTAAATCGTGTTGTGCTAAACGGGGACGACAATGAAAATGGCTTCAAGACTAATGGATCTAATTAGCAGATAAACAAATTGCACGTGCAGCACACGTTTTCTTCTAATTAGCAAGACACGACATTGTTGTTGTTTTTTCTTTCTAAAAGTCTGAAGGCCATGTGATTAAAACCTTGAGTTGCATTTGGGCTGCTATACCCCTTGATTGAGTTATTTTACATTGGTATCCCTGTGGTGCGGACGGACGGTCGCTCGGTCGCTCGCTCGGTGTACGGTCACGTGATTACCAAACTTTCTCGGATGGGTAGATTACCACAATTCCTTTGCTATGGGGTCGCGCCGCACATGGAGCTCCTCTGAAAATCTTTGTGTTCGTTGTATAGCGGAATAAAAAATATTTCTTTGTGGATCTCTGCGTTACGTGTGGCGCTTGCCTGTTTCAAGTATTCAGACAGTGGAAAGTGGCGCAAAATAGAGCGGAGGGGAAAAAAAGCGAAAGAAAAGAATTGGGAGAGAGGAGGGTTTCTTCCCCTTCTCTCCCCGCCTCCAACGCTTTTGTAATTTATTTTCTGCTGCTTTTCTTTGTACCGTTCCCACTATCTGGAGTCCTGGAATAGGCTTTTCTGGTGCTAACAGACTCGGCTATGGCCTTAAGAAAGAACCACAGGAAAACCATTAATGTCTCAAGGTAACCTACGATAAGGCGGTTTTTTTTTAGAATAGCCAAGCATATTCCGAGTCACGGGAGCCAATCAAAAATTGATATTCACTGTTTTGGTAAATACTTATAAGCGATATATTTTATGGAATGGCCTTGGCATCGCAAGGGCCAATCTAAATCTTACATTTTTCGGCTTTTGTCTCTAAATTTAGACTGTTCACAGTCCTCTATTTTTCCGTAAGATCATCGAGATCGAGCGTTTTGCGTTACGGGCTGCCATCTTGCATGAGTGTCAAAACTACTTAGGGGGCAGGGGTGGTTTGGGAGGAGCGAGAAAAATATTTTTCTTGTCCCCCCACCCAGAGCTATGATCCCCGAGGCCCGCCACCTCGGTACATTTGAAAATCAAGATACCCGTGACGGTAAGACGCGGTATATGTAAACGATCTCACGAAAAAATAGGGGACTGTGAACAGTCTACTCTAAATTAGTCTTTCTTAACGTATGTTTTTGGAAACAAAAAACGGGATCCGGGAAAGCGATGAGAACAAGTTGCGGGATGCGGGAGTGAAAAAGTAGCGGGAATGCGGGATCAGGATCCCCCCTTCCAGACCCTGAGGAACGAACTACGCGCTCCAGTTCCAAATACTCAGTCCACATTATCTTTAGAAAAACAAGTTGGAGTTTAAAAATCATGACTGGGTCACAACGCAATTCTCCATGGTTGATGTAGCTTCAGTTTAAGCTGCAGTCCATTCCTGATCATTCTTCGACATTTGGATCTGTAAATCACTATCCGTGAGAATTTACATCCTGCTAAAAACACTAACGAGCTGGACCCAGCGTGACAAAACTTTGCAGCGAACCATCACATTCACGGACAAAAGGATAATCGCTCATAATTATTCAGATCCAGGAGGCACTTTGGAAAGAATCAAACAACCTAAAACCATTTCTTAGCCACAATGAATAGCTTTAGGTTTCATAAGAGGTCAAAGCAGGAGCCCATAAGTTGGAGGGAGCAACTCCCATGTTATAGTGTCACGGCGTTTTCACGAACCGAGTTATTTTTAATTCAAAGTTGCCGCGAATTCAGACCAATCATATGCGTCCATACTTATCATTAACGTCACTGTAAGTTTGTATTACCATCAAAGCGAAACAAAAATGGCGGATAGCAGTGAGGATGAATCGTCTGATTCCTCCGATAATTTAAGTGTGATTTCAGACGAGGATTTTGTAGTCTCTAGTAGTTCAGAAGCCAGTGTAAGAGAGGATGAGGTGGAAATCGAACAAGGTAGTGCGGTTTTTCGTTCTTTGTCTGGAAAAAGAAAGAGTAGTCAACCTCGATCTTCAGCTAAATCATCCAAGCAGGGAGAAAAAGAGCCCCGCTGGAAATTCTGCTCTTTCGAATGACACTGAGATCGATGACCTAACGTCTTGGATTTTCTACTAAGCAGGCAGCTGAAATCGAATCAAAGTTTCGTGAAGACCTAATTCAGAACCCAGGCATAAGTGAA